GATTGTAAATGAGAGAGAGAGAGAGAGAGAGAGAGAGAGAGAGAGAGAGAGAGAGAGAGAGAGAAAGAAAATGATAGGCTGAGGGATCTTGGATCTTTTTTTTCAGCATGGCAATACAAATTAAGGAAAATACATTGGCAATACAAATTAAGGAAAATACATATAATACTTGGTCCATCAACCAAGTATTATATAAACCTAGAAAGAAATGTAAATGAAACATTTAGACCAAATGTCTATTCAATTCACATATACAAATTAATTTTGTCAAAGGGTATTGTGCCATACTTTTAAGTCTATTGCTCCAAATATTCTTCTCTAGAGTAGGGGTGCTCATAAATCTTGCCCTTTAGGATATTCAGGGGTCCACCCAGGGCACATATAAAAAGAAAAGTTTATGTCAGATCATTTGCCTATGCCTGTAGACATTCCTGTTCTAGAGGTAAAAAGTGGATTTGCTATTTATATGCAGGACTTAGAATAGAATAGGATTTTTTTTATTGGCCAAGTAATTGGCCTTGTGTGGCCAATTTGATTGGACACACAAGGAATTTGTCTTGGTGCATATGCTCTCAGTGTACATAAAAGAAAAGTTACACATCAAGAATCATAAGGTACAACACTTAATGATAGTCATAGGGTACAAATAAGCAATCAGGATACAATAGCAATATAAATCGTAAGGATACAAGCAACAAAATTACAGTCATAGAGTCATAAGTGGAAGGAGATGGGTGATGGGAACGATGAAAAGATTAATTGTAGTGCAGACTTAGTAAATAGTTTGACAGTGTTGAGGGAATTCTTTGTTTAGCAGAGTGATGGCGTTCGGGAAAAAACTGTTCTTGTGTCTAGTAGTTCTGGTGTGCAGTGCTCTATAGCGTCGTTTTGAGGGTAGGAGTTGAAACGGTTTATGTCCAGGATGTGAGGGGTCTGTAAATATTTTCACAGCCCTCTTAAAAAATCTTTAAAAATGTTTATGTTTAAAGATACATCCCACTTCAAAATACTCTGTTATCCCTGATAGGCAAAATCTATTGTTTAAAATACTTTTTGCCAAAAATGATATTAATCTTTAAATGTTCTTACAATTTTAGCAGCAGTGGAGTTTTAATAATGTTCTGATATTCAGTAGACTAAACAATGAGATTACGACATTAACACCATCACACTTTCAGTTCATGTATTGTACAACATTGTTGAGAAATAACAGTTGTCTCAAAAGTTGGACCAACTCTTCATCTTATTGTTCTCTTATCCCAACAGGTGTTCCAATTTTACACTTGATACCTTCACCTTTCCCTAGAGTATGGCACACTATGGAGGACAATGAAGAGAATCTTGACAAGCCAACTATTGACAACCTCAGCAAAATTCTGCAAGTTTTTGTGCTGGAATATCTCAATTTGGGATAACTGTTACCCTTAAATTAATATTTTGTTCTAAACACTTAGCTCTGTTTAGGATTCTTCCAAGAATAGGCCTTTACTGTAGATATAGCAATCAGATCTCCTACTTTACACCTTGTCCATGACAAAAACTGGAAGATTGTCCATCTAGATTTTATAATGTTAGTGAAATTTTAATATTTATTCCTAAGCAACGAATACCTGGCAGTGTAAAAGTTAATGATGTTATTATGAGAAGCTAGATGTAAAAAAAAAAATCAAAATACCATTTTTAATTTAATTGACTTTTTCATTTAAAAATGAATGGGAAGTGTTTATATATCTTCGATGTTAACTTCTTTCTATTAATCTTTAATATACATGTTTCAAAACTTGACTAACGTGATGTTAAAAAGAACAATTAAGCATCTCAGGGTGAGAATCTGAACACCTTTGACCTGCCAATTCACACAGGTGCAGAAGTCAAGGGCTGCAAAACAAACAACAACAACAAAAAACTGTATGTAGCTTGTTTATTGCACTGCTATTTGAATGATTCCCAAATATGATTTAAGGTGCCAATGTTGTAGTCTTCTATAGCTGTGAGTGCCAATAAAAAACAGGGAGTGACTGCCTGGACTACAATTCTGAACCAGGTATGCAAATCATCAATCTACATCTTATTAAATTATGCTGTAAAATATATATTGACTGATTGCAGTTTATCTGATGACTAGCTGAATACCTGTGCTCTGCTATGAAACTATGTGATCGGGCTTGATAAATCGACAGTTAGAGTTCGACAATTAATGGGTAGTTACAATTGGCCTCTCCTCTCCCCTTCTCTCCCTCAGGCTGGCACCATAAATCCTCTCCTCTCCCCTTCTCTCCCTCAGGCTGGCCCCATAGACCCTCTCCTCTCCCCTCCTCTCCCCCAGGCTGGCCCAACAAAAGCATCTCCTCTCTCCTTCTCTCCTCCAGCTTTGCCCCATAGAAGCCTCTCTCCTCTCTCTGACTGGTCCCATAGATCCTCTCCTCAACCTCAGCCTTGCCCCACAGAAATGTCTCCTATCCTATCCCCTTCTCTCCCTCAGGCTTTCTAGCCCCTTCTCTCCATGAGGCTTGCCCCACAGAAGCCTGTCCTATCCTATCCCACTCTCTCCAGTTATTTTCAAGTTGGGAGGGGGAGTAGAATGTCTAACTAATTAGCATCAGAGCATATTATAATAATATAGGAAATACTAATGCTCTGATGGTCATTTCGAAAAATCCTTTCTTAATGAGCACCTAGAAGCCAAAAGGAACATACCTGGCAAATGACACGTAGGCTTTATGGTTTTGGAGATTTTGTGATTAATGTGTAATGGTTTTCGCTTTTATATATATAGATGAATGATCTCAACATACAATTAGCCCTTTATTGACATTAATGATATTCAAATGTGCAAGTGAATAATATATGGGTAGTAAAATCCACTGATATTATGAACTGATATTATATTTTCAGGCTACATTTAAGCATTCCTGTAACCTTCCTCCAGTGCCAAGGTGAGCAAACATTGATTCCTCTATTTATTTCATTCCCTGAAGACCCTCAAAAAACAATGCCCAAAGTGGCAGCATGATTCAACAGTTAATATTTTAAATATACTGTATACTCCATGTTAGTCTTGGCAACTACCTAGACAAGCTCTGCATTTTTCTGGGTAAGGTTTTTCAGAAGTGGTTGCCATTACCTCCTTTCTAGGACTGTGAGAAAGTGACTGATCCAAGGCCACCCAACTTGTTTTGTGACTATGGTAGGACTAGAACTCAATCCCCAGGTTTTCTAGCCTGTGCCTTAACCACTATACCAAACTGACTTTCCTAATTATATAAAAATTGATCTTAATACACTAATCAACATTACAAAATAACTCCGCCTTGGGTGGGGAGAAATACTTTTCATTGATTACATCATATTGGCTCCATGCACTAGCATTAATTTGACAACATAATAGCCAATTTTATATATGTTTGAATTCCAAAACTGTAATTTTACAAGCATTGTTCATCTAAACACATTTTTCTATAATGATAGGCAATATGTGATTCTGTCAGCAGCTTAACATTTCTGACATACTAGGAATTCAGTTATATAAGATAGTATAAACACACTATAATTAATGGGGTAGATTCTGCACATATATGGTTGAACAAAAAGCAACTATCCCTAAAACCATGCCTTTACAATCATATTCCATTCTTTCGGTTCCTATAGTAGTGGTTAAGGGTGGAGGGAGTTGTTAATTGAAACTAGGCATGGAAAGATTTCCTTACCTAAACAGAGAAACAGAATAGGAGGGGGAAGCAGTGGGAATGGGAGTAACTTCCTGTCAGCTTCTCCATGGAGTTCCCTTGTGGAAAGCTGACAGGGAACATCAGAAATCAAACATACAAAATGAGGCCAATGCATAGAAAAGAAGAAATTCCATAAATTTTATAAGCTGTATAACAATTATATATTAGGGAAGGAGAAATTATTCATACAGGAGCAATATTTAAATATAACTTTGGACAGAAGCATCGTAGGTAGATTTAAATGAGCTAGACCCATGATGGTGAACCTATGGCACGCATGCCAGAGGTGGCACGCAGAACCCTCTATGGGCACGTGCACCATCGCCACCTGCTCTTCTGGTTTCTGGCGCCAGCCAGCTGGTCTTTGCAGGCGCAAGAGTGCCAGAAAATGGCCTGAAAAATGGCCAAAAAACAGGCCATTTTCTGGGCCGTTTCCGGGCCTTTTTCAGGCCGTTTTTGGCGCACTGGCCAGCTGTTCTTTGGGTTTCCGGCGCTCTGGCAGGCACGCATGCATGCACATGCACACGTGTTCTGGTTTGGGCACTCGGTGCCAAAAAGATTCACCATCACTGAGCTAGACTATACAGCACAATGTGAGAATGGTTGAACTGTTATAAACTAGATAAAAAACACATAGGTTTTTAAAATCTGATTTAATTAGTTGTTCCAAAAGAAAATACCCTTATAAATAGGTATGTAACATTGTTCCATAAAATACAACTTTGTAATTGGTAATAATTTTCCTTTTTTAAAAAAGATAAGTACCTTTCTCCTTGCAACCTGCCATGCTTATTTTTTCAGAGTTGACCCGATACTGGTCTTGTGAAAATTGATATTCACCAACGAAAGAGAGATTAGCTCTTTAAATGTTATTCTGAGCATCAACATCTTTTTTTGAGGTTGTCAACACTCTTCGTTTGAGCTGACAGAATTCCAGATATTGGTATTGTAAAGATCATTTTGATATGAATATCCAGAATTCTGTTCTTTAAACAAGGCAGGACCTCCTACACTACACCCTGATTTCAACTAATTGATTGAAACGAGATTCTAATTTCTCCTTCAAATGAATTGATAAATCTAGAGATTTACATGCTTTTGCCACACACAAACCCGTAGCTTTACATTATTTTCATAAATGAACAAGTACGCTATTTTGACTTTTTTTACTTAACTGGTTCTTTATCCAGTTTTAGGATTTATGTGGAGGACAGATTGTGTTTTACGTTATATTTATGCAGCAGTGTTAATGATTCAGAAGGGTACAGAAACTTTTAAGCACCAATGTATGTTTATTCATACCTTTATATTTGCTACAGGTAAATTGCCTATAATCTCGTCATTTCATGGAAATGACGTCATTTCTATGGAAATAGATCAAAGAGGTTTTTCTGTTCATAAAGGAATAGCAGACTTATCCAGGGAAGGTAATCATGCTTACACTGAATATCTCAGGATAAAAGGATACATTCTTTATTGAGGGAAAAGAAGAGATGAAGGGCAGCAATTCCACGTTGCTGTTGCAGAAATGGGGTTCCCCAAAACTGTTTAAAAAGTTAATCACTTCTGATTTCCCACAGTGGAAACCTTTGCTAACCCCAAACTGTCCATTAGTATCCATTTATTTAAATGTAAGATGTCACTGAGGGAAAACCAATTACGACACACAATGCAAGTAGTAAGTATACAACTCCATCACTCACAAATACTTATTAGCAGAACAAAACATATTCAACCTGGCACTCTTGGTGGAAAGCAAATGGGCTCCAGTTAAATATGAGCTAAGTCCCGTGTGAAACCTTTTGCTGCCCTTCACCCAGGAATGTTAACAAGGTGGGGAAAACTTGCTGAGCATGGATTTTGGATTTTTTTTTCAACTCCTTCCCTAGCAGTAGGGATGGAAATCCCCTGTATTATATTTTGTGTAACCAGATGAAGTTTTTTTGTTCTAGGTCATTCTTCATCTATACACATTTGTGCATATGTATACTCCGGGAAGGACAGCACAGGCTACAGAAACTCTGGGCCACAAAATCAAGGGGACGGAGGGAAGAGGGCTTAAAATGAAGCAATCTTTCAATCAGGCTGAAAAGAATAAATGCTGAATGTTGAATGCTGAAATTACCACAACAGTCTGCTAGATCAACAAACCCATCCTACTGTAGATTCTTTCAGGATAGTAGCAAAATCAGGCCGCTTTTATTGCTCAGCAGCTCTGGGCTGTATTTTTCAGCATTTCCTTCCCCGTCAATCAAATCAATCAAAATTCAAATGCTGTTTTCCTTTAGTCCACCTGCAGCAGTTCTCCTCAGCCTGAAATTTATGTTGGTGATGGGAGATAAAGACAGAGCCTTCCTTGCTTCGCCGTTTCTGAATCTCCATCTCTGCTCTTAATTCCATTTCCCTCCTCTGTAGTTAGGCACCACCATAGGAATCCCTCTCTTTGGGTCTCTACCACAGCTATAGGCCTTCCTCTGGAATTTTCAGCTCTTCAGGTACCCAGGACCACTTCAGCTCTTCCCCTCAGGCCTATGCTCTTAGAGGAGGGGAGAAACCTGTCCCTAAAGTTTAACTATCCACATGTTCCTGTTTAAAATCTCTGATGTCATCTTTCTTCCAGAAAAGTAACTCTGCATGTGAGAAATGTATTCGACACAATATTAATAATCAGTTACAGATGACCTTCGTTGTCTTCCCACACTGTCATATTTCATGAGTTCTCCTCTGCACGCCACAGGCAAGATTACCCATAAGCATTTTAATATCAACCTGAATTTCAGGAGCACTTGCTGGATTTACCAAATAATAATTTTCCATTGTTCAGAAAACCTTTAAAAATGATTCTATGATTACATCAAAGAAACTTTAAAAAAAATAATTTTGTTAATAGACACTTTGCAAAACCGTTATTTTCTGGAGTTCCTTTCACGTACTATGTTGAAATTATTTACAAGACCAGCAATATATGCAATTGCAATAACTTTTTATAAAGCTATGGCTTTACAGTCAGAAATGGATAACTGCATCAAAAAAAGTCAATCCATGAATGCACGTTTTCATGATTTTGAAAACTTCTGATACTAGTCACCAGGAAGTCAAACAGTCTTGTAGAAAAATGAGCAATAAAATAATTGAAGTAATTTTAAACAATAAATATAGAAACAGTTTATTAGGGTCTTAATTGACCTCGAGTGCCAGTTCCATATCTCTGAGGAACATTAATGAAGCCAGTCCTCAATCCCTGGGTTACTCCCGTTCCTGGCAATCCAAAGCCTTGAGTGAAGACACTGCTGTAAGGTACAGTTCCATGGTTGAAATTCAATCCATAGGGCCTTGTCTGAGTGTTCATGAGAATGATAGGGTTCATATTTTTACCTGGTGTGTTAAAAGCAAATTCTGGAGGTGGACTGCTTGGTTTAGTTGGAGTGGATGTAACATGATCAGAATTTTCTGCTGCTTTTAGAGATGGCATTGGAATAATGTAATGATCTGAAAGCATATTGTTCCCAATAGGTCCAGTGGCCAAAGTAGGCCTAATCCAGTCATCTTTGAAAATCTGAACAGTCAAAATAGATACTAATGCATTTAACCGATTTGTCACATGTGCAAGTACCATCTGTTCATTGGCATCTCTTCGAATTCTCACATGAACTGATCCAGCCTAGAAAACAAATTAAGAAAAGTTCATCAGTCTGTGACATATAAAACTGATAGACTGGGACAAATGCACAATAACAAACATACTTCTGAAATAATTTAGTATATCCTGCAATTACTAGATGAGAAACTATTAGAATGTATTTCTTCATTCTTCATACTTGCTTTTTATAGAAAAAAGTCATTAAAGTGGATAAATACATACCAGTGAACCAAACCCCAATGTCCAGAAGTGTTCATTTCGAACTTCTAGAACTCCATCCAAAGTAGAAACCTGGTTCAAGACATAGAAAGTTATTGTATATAATAATAATAATAATAATAATAATAATAATAATAACAACAACAACAACAACAACAACAACAACAACAACAACAATACAATATGACTGTTTGTAATAAGGGGTCCTTGGTGCTCTCTGAGCTTGCTTGTTTTCCAGCAGACGTTTCATTATCATTTATCACTGTTTGTAATAGTTTAATAAAACTGATCTAGCATATTTTATAAATAAGAAGGCACATTTGGGTTGTCATTAGAGGTGTTCCCACAATTTATTTGATTTCTATAGTTATCCATCTCAGCAGGTGACTCTTGGCAATAAAACATTGCATTGTTTTATAAAACATAAAAACAATTAAAACCATTTAAACAGTACAAAATAAATATATATGGCACCGAGTAAAAATGTTGCTATGGATGTTAATATAGCTAGCAACTGGGGCTCTTAACACACTCATACAACCAAGTCTTCATGGCCTTGCAAAAGGCCAACAGGGTCATGGTTGTCCTCAACTCTGAAGGAAGAGTATTCCAGAGGGCATGTCTCCTGGTTCCCACTCCTTGGCTGATAGGACCTGAAGCATGTCCAACTGCCTGACCAGAAACAGTTGGACATGCTTCAACTAGGAGAAGGTGGCCCCAAATGATGAAGGGCTTTTTTATATTAACTTACCTCTCGTATAAGTTTATCTAGCTGTCCAATCACATGAGGCGGTGTCGTCTAAAAAAAGGTTTACAATTTCATAATGTAATTTATTCAGCCACAACACAAATGATTAGTAATTAGGATGCTGATAAAGTATGAGCAATCAGTATCAAGGAATACATCTGACTACATTATATGAATGTTTCTGAAAAGAAAGACACATTCAAATATCATTTTTTTAAAAAGTTTTGCTGAATGGGTGAGTTGACATAAACAGCATCCTTTCTGCATTTGAACACAATGTTAATCCTTCACAATTTGTTCTTTTATAGCAAAGTTCTGGTATTATCTTTTTGTAAAAAAATCTACGTAACAACATTATGAGCCATCTACCTATTTAACTTCTCTAGAGATTTAGCCATTTTTGTTATTGGCATCTCTAGTGGAGTAAACCCTATCCATTCTATCTCATAGTTCACCTTTTAGCTTCCTGACAACTCTAGGCCCTTTCTGATGCCAGCTGCCATCCAACATCACTAAAGAGTACCCAGTTTCCTGCTCTGGGATGAGTTGCCATCATTTGTTATAGTTGGAAATTAGCCTTCCCCCAATCTTTGAGTCTGGACAATCCTTTTCTAATGTTCAAGAATGTCATTACTGCAGGACAATAAGATAACACGACAAAGGAGGTGATGTAATTAAAGGATCAGTCCTCAAGAAGCAGATTAGTCTGGGCACAGACCTGTCATTCTAATTACATATAAGAAGTTGATATTAATTTAAGCTATCTATTGAGAATAAACTGAGAGAACAAACAGTTTAAGTAATCAGAGAGTCCATTCTAAAATAACTAACCTTACTGTCTCTTCCCTGAGAAGGCAGATAAATCAATCTCTCCTCTGAAGAGAGCCATCTGTCTGCTATTTTTCATTTTCTCCTATCAACTTCTAACCCCAGCTCTTCTTACTAGGAAAATCTACCATTCCCTTCTTGCAAAGGATATACAAGTTAATTTTCCAGTTAATTTAATTAACCAATTCTATACTGACAGCTACTGAAAGCCACAAAATTTTATCCATATTACTATGATCTACCAAGACCTGAAGATATGATAATAAATTGATAAATAGTAAAGATAGAGGTAAAGGTTCCGCTTGCACATATGTGCTAGTCATTCCCAACTCTAGGAGGCGGAGCAAGTGCTGTCCAAAGATATCTCCGTGGTCATGTGGCCGGCATGACTAAATGCCAAAAGCGCAGGAATGCTGTTACCTTCCTACCAAAGGTGGTCCCTATTTTTCTACTTGCATTTTTTACATGCTTTTGAACTGCTAGGTTGGCAGAAGCTGGGACAAGTAATGGGAGCCCACCCCATTAAGCGGCACTAGGGATTCGAAACACTGAATTGCCAACCTTTCACTCAACAAACTCAGCATCTTAGACACTGAGCCACTGCATCAGTAAGCAAAGCTGTTTTTTTGGCTACTCTCTAACTATCGGGAACTGCTAGTACAAAGGCCTTAATTCCTTGCTCACCTGAAGCAATACCTTTCCACTGTAGACACTCATGGGATACATGGTACCAAATGTCATCAAAGCAATAGCTACTGCAGAAGCTGTATCAACTGCAAAATAATTACTGAAAGAAAAAAATATAACATTATAGGCATTCCTGTTTTCTGTATCAAATGCTATTAAATATTATCATTCCATCCAAGAGTACTTACTTAATTTCAATTAACATGTATGTAATACAAAGAGCTAAAGCCCCAGCAAGATCAATTAAGATGAATGGATTCATACGTGGGAGAAAGATGCTACTCAGTCCAGGAATGATACCGCACAAGCTAAAAGTAATAATAAATAATATCAATTAGTGAAGAAAGCTGATAGGCAGAACCCTCTTATTATCCATACGGCTGTAGCTCTTACAGTTACTCTCTGAAATATACCAATGGGATAACTATGATACCAAAAACAAAACAAATAATAGAAATCTTCATCTGAAATTTTAGAATGCTATTAGATGAAAAGACAATCTAGAGCTAAGTTTAAAAAAAACAGTTTGAATCCATATAATCAAATTCAATTCCTCATCACTACAGGTATATGTCAGTGCATTTTTCCTGGCCACCAAGTGTTTTTTTCCATTGTCTAATTCTAGGATTTTCTTTTAGTACTCTGTATATAGTATTCAAATATTAAACAGTCTGATCTATTGGTTTATTGTTATTAATGTCTTACCAACTGCAATTAAGATTTGTATTAATCATTAAATCTGTGCCCAATTTATGTCAGGTTATCTAAAAAACAATCTTCATCTATAGAATCTTATCTGGACATTAAAAATGTTTTAGGTTAGGTATACATTTTAGGTACTTTACATGTCTTTTCTGCATACTTTAACAATTTTTATGAGTATATTGGATTGTAAGGAGTATGTTGTGTTGTCTTTTTCAAGAAACATTTATTAAGGCAGTTTGTGTATCCAATGTTAGATTATCAGATACCAGGAACATGACTATAAGGAAATTTGATACTATTTGATTGTTACCATTTAAGACTTTCATATTAACTCATAAATGGGTGGAAAGAAATATGCCATCTTCCAACAAAAGAACAAAATTTAATCTAATATTCTTTTAGCAAACTCAATTATTTTCATAATCTTGCATTGTGACTTTGATTAATAACAATTTGTCAACCTTCTGTCAACCTTTTGTCAACACAAATTATCTGGTCATTTCCTCCAAAGGAAAAATAATCATAGTTTTAAAATAGAAACCAACACCCTTCTGTGAGAAAGTGATTATGAACAAAAAAGACAGGAAGATGCCATTTCAATAGATCAAATTTCCACAGTATAACTCCCAAACAATATATATTTGGCGATGGCAACAAATCAAAAGAATTGCACAGTGGCCCACACTCAAAAACTTGGGCTGCTTATTTCATTGTCTATGTCACAGTACAAAGTTGCTAAGGAACAGAAATTTCCAGCTATTTTCAGGGAACTATAGGAATTTAGCATAAGAAAGAACTATTTTTTAAAAAACGTGTTTGCTTTTTTCTGAGTGTTTTAAATTTATTATTGCTTAAAAACCATACTAGGAACTCTCTCTTTCAAAGACCAAGCTAATACCTAGAATAATTGGCTATGCAAGCACATTAGGTTTCTAAACAAATATTAAGTGCAAATGCAGATAGAGATGCTTTACGTTCTAAATACCATCTCTACTTAGGAATTTATTTTTACAAATATGGTGGGGGTTTTTGGGACCAGCTGACATGCTTCAAAGTAAGTACCACCCTCTAGCACCATATTCGAATCACAATGACTTGAGAGCACCTATACGCATTCTTAGAATATAAAAACAGTGAGTAGCTTCAACCCAGATTTTCTTTAAAACCAAGAAAGATTATAGAAAGGTAAACTGGTATACATGGACTGAATCAGAATTTTGATTTTTTTTTCTTGGCCTGTGGAAAAGCAGTTGTTATTTTACCTGTGCTTTACACTGTAAGAGGCAGAAAAAATAAGTTTGAAGCTACATAAAGTCCTACAGCAATGTTATTCAAACTTGGCAAGATGCTCAGTGAGGAATTCTAGGAGTTGATGTCCACACATCTTAAAGTTGCCAAGTGTCCTAAAGTTTCAGGATTATCATTTTTGAAATATGACAAGGAACTACCTCATCATTCATCTACCCAATGGGTGCTTTAACAATGGAACCATTTTGTTAATAAAAAGTCTGTCCTGCCTATGGAGAGCAACCCCACTACAATCTCAAAATTCAAAATACACGCATCAGAACAAAGAAGATAGCACACTCTGCTTTAGAATGTCTTTCTTTCTAACTTACCTCCTAGTGAGATCTGCAACATGTTCCTGAAGCCAACTTGTACTTGCAGCTGCAGAGAGAAGTGCAATTGTTCATTAAGAGAAAATATCATAAGTCTAATATAATTCTTCTCAAATCTGTATAAAGTTCAACTGTAGGGCAAAAGTTTATCTATCTGAAAATTTTACTTCACTAATACATTATCTCCTCACCATCCAAAAAAAAAAGCCAACATCCCTCTAAGTATTGACTTTTTTAAAAAAATGTATTCCTGGAATGCTGGGTAAATGGAATTCCTTTTCTGATTATTGTTTTACTACAGTGTATATTTAAAGGAAGTTTTCCCTTTAAAATCAGCCTAAAGGTAAATTTAAATTAAAATAAACAATATATTATTCTACTAATTAAAAGCACAATTTTATAATTATGGTCACGCTAAGCTATATTAAAAACAAAGACATAAATGACTATATTATAATGTCATCATGATTATTATATTTTCAAAATACTATTATCCAGAATCACAAGAACAATCGAATAAGTTTATTAGAACTTGAAGTTAAGATTATTTGCAGATATTATTGCAAGACTAAGCTGCCACCCAAATCACACATTAGTTACATTACAACTGAATACAAGACCTGAAGAATTTTCATAGTACACCCTTAGATCAGAAAGAATTTGGGATGGGACATGAAAGGGCCCATGAGGCTCCCTAAGAGTTCTACATAACTTTTTTTCTTATAAAGAATTTGCATAAATTGCACTAAGGACTGAAAGAAGATTAAACTGATTTGGACAAACAAGCCAAAATTAGAGGTAGTCCTCGACCTACAACCATTCATTTAGCAACTGTTTAACATTACAACAGCACTGAAAAGTGACTTATAATCAATCCTTGCACTTAGGATCGTTGCAGCATCCTCAATGGTCACATGATCAAAATTCAGGCACTTGGCAACCAGCGTATATTTACAATGGTTGCAGCATCCCGGTGTCATGTGATTGCTACATGCCACTTTCCCAGCTGGCTTCTGAGAAGCAAATCCATGGGGGAAGCTGGGTTCACTTAACAACTGCAGTGATTTGCATAACAACCCTGGCAGAAAGGGTGATAAGGTTGGCTGCGACTCATTCAGCAACTTCAATGCTTAACAACTGAAATTGTGGTCATAAGTCAAAGAGTACTTTTACTTCCTCTTGATGCATTTTCTCTCTCTTAGAATCAGCAGGCATTTGGGTACAGGGCTTGCAGGCCTGTCCAAATCTTGCAACTCTCTAACATTTCAAATATGCAGATGTAGAAATCCAAAGTCATTAGCGTAGTTCAGCATAAAAAACTATGTTTTTTACATGAATCTAGATCATCTAGATATGACAATTTCCAAAATCAAGATCATCAAAAGGGAAAACCCAGCAGTGCAGAGATCCCCAACCAGGGAATTATCACCTGCAATGCGGTTTGGTAACGTAAAAGCAGAAATTGTTCCAAATAGGAAATACTGTTACCCTTTTTCGCATTTTCAAAGGTATTGAAAATGAGGACGCCTCTGCTATACATCTACTTTCTTCTTAGTCCTTCTGAGTATTATCAAAGATTTAAGGGATGGAAGTTGTGGGTTTGGTGACAACAACAAATAATATTTGGCTACTAATTAATATATAATTTTTTAGCTTTTATTAAATTAAAATATATATTTTCTTTTCAAAAATTTTATTATGTACCTTCAGACACGTAAGCAAATGGTTTGTTCTTAATTGAAAGCATTGTAAACAAGTTGAAAGTGAGTGCCACAAAGGTACCAACCAGCAATCGACCCCTAAAAATAAAAATCTTTATCAATATAGCATATCGTCAGGTACAAAGAACAGGTATGTTATTTATTCTTCATTACCATTAGGCTCCATTTAACTGCAGTGGGCTTTTTTTTAAGTTTACCTGATTCCATTTAATTATTTACAACTCTTATGTAAATAACTTATTAGCTGAGAGATTTATTACATTTCTGTGCTGCTGTACAAGACTTTTAGAGGTTTTATGGCAATGCATGAGCCTTTAATAGAGTGGCCCAATCCCATGTCACCTGTTCTGTTAGTTTTTTAGTCTTTAATCTATCTTAATTTTAATTGTTTTTGTTATCTTTTTATTATGCTGTAAGCCATCTAGAGTCGTTGAATGAGATGGGTGGCATATTCATTAAATAAATAAACAAATACATAAATAAACAATAAAGGACATCTATGAGCCCGGTTACAATCATAAAAACCCTGAAACTTACAAAAACTATAGAACCCAAAAACTAGACCTCAAGTTTCAATATCCCTTCAGAAGAGATCGTTTTTCAAGTGCTTCTGGATGGCAGCCAAAGTTGGAGTCAGCCTACATGACAGTGGGAGGCCATTCTAGAGTGGGTGACTCTTTCCTGGAAAAGCAGCATCTTAGCCTTCTGCCCCAGCACAAAATGGGGAAGCACTTACTGGTGGAATTCTTAAGACTAAACAAGCAAACCCCATTCTAGTGGGTGAATAAGAATGTAACTTAGTGCCAAGTCACAGAGGCCTTTCTATGTTAACATCAAAACTTTAAATTGCAACAACAACCTGATAGGAAGGCAATGCAAGGTCTGTAGCACAGATGTAATATAGTCCCATTGGCAAATGTAAAATAGTACACAGGCCACTGCAATTTTGGCCAGCTGAAGCTTCCAAATTGTCTTTAAAGGCAACCCCACATCAAGTGTGTTACAGTAGTATAAATAAATGGGAACAAGGGCATGAATCACTGTAGCAAGATTTTCTTGCCCCAAGTAGAGCTCCAAATGGCACGCTAGCAAGTAGAAATCATCTGTGATTTCTACTTGCTTGCTTAAGTAAGAGTTCAATTTGTGAGCCAGCCCTTCAAGGGAAATGATTCCTCATCAAGAAATATACTGAAGCTTCCAGAGCACTTCGATGGACAAACAGTATCCCTGTCTTGCTAGGATTCAAATTTAGCAAGTTGTCTCCCATCCGAACCCTCACAACTTTCAGACAAATCTAAAATCTAAAATAAAAATTTTACACAAAAAATAATAGCCATGGAACCCAAAACTATGATGAAATTACAGTTAACAAGGGCTACATGTGCATTAAATTTAAGCTTTTACTATTTAATATATATCAGACAAAGCCTTTTAAAAAGACTTCTGCCCAATTCATTGCATGTATGATTTAAAGTTATCTTTATACAAAATCCATCTGTATTAAACAAAGTATCCCAGATCAACAAATTCAAGTGGATTTTTGCCACTGACCTAAAAGTCATGACAGCATTTCATTTTCAGTTTTCTGCTTTAACAGATAAAGTAATGTACTAATGGCCCTATTAATTATGCCAACTTTATATACTTATAATATTTATTATTATTTAATTTAAAATGCTTACGTATGAATCTCTGGTTGTTCAATAAATCGTTCAGCACTGAAAAGACACAATAAATCTGTTAGTCGCATATATAGTCCTTCAATGCACCAGCAAATCTATGAGGTTTACTGTGGATAAAACATCATACTACCCTTTGTAGCTGCTATTTTTTTTTAAAAAAAAAACTGTTCTAACACTGGAAATACTATTATTTTTGACAATGATTAAATAATAATCACAAGGAGGGGACATTCCTACCTTTCTTTAAGTATAAAAAGTGCTCCAAGTTGTGCAAGAACCGTAGAAGCAAATACTGCTAGGACTTCAAATCTCTCAAATCTGCAGTTTGGGAAATTAAGCATTTAAAAATCAGTGCAAATAATAAGACTATTAATCAGAAAGTATAATGCATTAATTGAGATGGGTACAAGAAGGTATGCTAGAAAATTAACACGTGCTATTTACTTTTGCTATTATTTTCTTTTTATTAAAACATTTTAAATGTTAGTGGCATGTTAAGGGAAGGCCAGATAAATTGGGCAGCTGAATAATATCCATGTATTTTGGAATTATTCTGTTCTATTAAGTTCTATGTTTTAATTCATGCTACCTAGCAATAAGGGTGTCATTGTTGGGGAGCACCACTCATGAACAGTTTTGATTTAACATGCAATTAAAAAAAACAACAAATAGGTTGGGTGCCCTAAAGTTTGGATAACTTAATTTTAGCTTTGTGGCAGATGGGATTATTTTATGTTACTGAGATTGATGAAAAGCTATGTATTCTCTGCTATCTGTTCATAATGAATTTCCAAAGGCTGAATAAAGGACAAAATGTTAACTTAGGTTTAGCTCCTCTCTTGGGGACTTCACACAAAGATGTCCTATAGTTCTCAGCAACAGTATGGACATACTTTTGTTTTGTTGCAATTTGGTATTTATATTGTTGTTTTTATCCTTGCTATATTTTATAATGTAAATTTAATTCATATAAATAGGTTGGATAATACATTTGTATGACAAGAGCAAGTTATAAAATCTTATATGACTGATAAAAGAAAAGGGCTCTAAAAGGAGGAGATAGCCTATAGATACCAGTTTTACTATTCCTAATTGAAACAAAACCATGCATATTTACAGCTTCATTTAGAGTTATACAGAGTTTGAACTCCAAGGCATCAGAGATTTTAAAAATACAGATTACATTAAACAGATCTAGTGAGAGATGTAAAATGAAATTTCCATTCTTGCAAATTTAAAAATGCACTTTTCCCTTTATGTGACAAGAAAAATTTACTTCCATAAAGAGAGTAATACTATATAAGGGCCCCAGAGTCTACATAAAACTGCATAGAGCCTGATCTGTTCTATCAACCACAGACTGGTGATTTCTGGGCTGGTAACATCATATTTGATCAAATGAATATATGCATATTTCAAATTAGCACCCTATAATTTCTTGAGCACAAATCAGTACAGTATTAAACATTAGATATAATGCTCTTTTAATGTGTGCATTACAATTTTCTTGAATTTATAAAATCTCTTTATAAACAAAATCGATCGAATAAATTAATAACATGTTTATTTCATAGTAAAATAATATTTTCAAAAGACACAAAATATTAATTATCAAACTTACCCAAATGAATATGAGGAACTGGGCTTCTTCATCATCACCCAATAACTTATTAAGCATGTTATTAAGCTAAATAAAAAAGGAAACAAAAATTAAAATAAGAGAAATGTAGCTATTAAAAATTATATAAAATAAATCCAGCATTTCAAAATTCAATTGTCATTTAACATATTGATGAATTGCCAGTAATAAAATAAATCCTTAGTTTAACAGCCTGCTGAAGGAGGTCAGTATATGAAATATGAATCTTTATTTAATGCAAGTTTATGTAATTTTTATTAAAATATATAATTATACAAATGAAGTGGATTGATATAAATAATGCAAATGAAAACTGTCTAGACTATTTCAGAAACAATGGACATGGTATATTAAGTTCAAATGATGCCCTGACAAAAAATTGTCTCTTGTATCTAAACTCCGCAAATTGGTGCTTTCTTTCAGGTTGTGGTAGATTTTCTGTTCAACTGTCTCCTTAAATCAATTAATGCAGTGGTAATACCCTATATATGTTTAGTCAGAATTAAATTCCATTGTTGACAGACTTACTTTTTTATAAGAGTACTGCAATCTCAGTTAATGTAGGGGAGTATGAAGTTAATCTTGAAAAAGCAGGAGTGGTTATGTAAACACCAACTCAGTCCTGAGAAAGAGGAGGGGGTGAAAATGAAATTCAAGATCACCCCACTTTGATTCTCTTTGGTATATGACAGACCAAAGAGAAACCTATTAGGCATACAAGATTCTGTTATTATACTTTACAGTAATATAGTAGAGTTCTAGTGGTTTCTAGAACCAGTATATATCCAGTTGTTTCCTGACTTGGCCTATGTTAAGGGGCTGACAGGGATATTTAAAGGCTTGTCATTTATTTAAAAAGCAAATAGAAAATATTTATTTAAATATATGTAAATATTTATTTAAATATATTTATTTAATAGCAAATACCATCAAGTTATATAGAAAACAAAAGTAGGGATTAAAGACAAAATGTACTGCTGTCATAATGGGACTTAAGCATGCTTAAATCCCCTTTGATTGCAGACCTTTGAAAAATGTCTATTTCTGTGCTGTATGTGACAATAGAAAACAATGGGATCTGTTTTATAGACTTATCTCCTATGCAATGAAAAGTCACTTATGCTGCAATCCTATCTCACATATCTGGCAATCCAATCCACTTAATTTCATTGGCTTTAATCTTAAATAGATTAAAATGGGACTGCATCTTACCTAACTAAGAGAAACAGGATTTATTAGGGAATATTAAAAGATTTTTACCATAACCCATGGATTTGGATAAAAGGACAATTTTTTTTACAAGTGTTACAAAATTAACTGAGGAATTTAAAAAGGAAACATACCTGAAAAGATCAAAGATTGTTAGATAGGTATATGCAGTTAAAGCTGTGGAAAGAAGATGGCCATTTTACTGTCACATAAACAAATGATGAAAATAATTTAGTTAACTTGCCTGTAAGTAAATAAATGTTGCTTTTAATAAACAATTGTTGGGCTTTATGCAATTTTCTATGTAATAAATATGCATCTACCAAATAAATCACAAAGCTTGTCAAGGAAGTTGTTTAGGCCTCTGGGACTTTCTTTTTTATGGTGGCATCTGTCAAGGTTTGGAGGTTTTTTGTGAATTTTGTGTGGGAGTTTGCAAGTGCGAATTACTGCGAATGGAATAATAGTGGATATTCAACACTATATTGGTGGATTTACTGCTAGGATTTCAGAAGTTTTGTATGTGCCGTGAGATGGAGAAGTGCAGAGTGAAGACTGAAGGAGTTTGTTTGTTTGTTTGTTTGTTTTATTAAATTTGTATACCGCCCTACTCCCGAAGGACTCAGGGCGGTGAACAGGCACAAGATAAAATACAGAAATACAAAAGTTAAAAACAATTTAAAACCAAATTAAATAATATTGGCCCATGACAATTAAAATCCCAATAAATTTAAAACAAATTAAAATTTCAATTTAAAATTTAAAAGAAAGGGGAGAAAAATTAGGCCAGGCCGGCTTGCTGGAATAAAAGGGTCTTAAGAGCACGGCGGAAGGTGCGCAGATCCAGGATCCTCCGTATCTCCGGGGGGAGCTCGTTCCAGATAGTGGGTGCCCCCACAGAGAAGGCCCTCCCCCTGGGGGCCGCCAGTCGACACTGCTTGGCTGATGGCACTTGGAGGAGACCCTCTCTATGAGAGCGTACCGGCCGGTGGGAGGCTATTTGTGGTAGTAGGCGGTCCCGTAAATAACCAGGTCCTAAGCCATGGTTAAGTAAAGTAAAGTAAAAGAAATAAAATATATGAGTAGCAGATCGTTGCCCTTTGGAGATTCATTGGTTCTTGGTGAAGGGTAAATTGTTCCTTGCATAAGAGGAAGGTGTCAAAGGGGTTATGCAAGTTACATTGTTTGGCAGAGTCATAACTGTAAGGAAGTTCTTAGACAATCCAAGGCCACTGTTGTGGGAAACATTAGTAACACAGAGCAGGCAACAAGATAATTAACGGAGGAAGCAGACTGTTACAAAATAGATTCTTGAGAGCATATCTCTTACATTTCCACCCTTTAGATCGATGCCTAGAGCAGGAGTGGGAAAATATTTGTCTACCAACTGTCACATTTCCTTAGAGTAATATTCAATATTTTCTGTAGGTTTTTAACTATTTTGAGCTTTTATATTCAGTTTTTGGGTTTTTAACATTCTATGTTTTTAATATTTAATACTGCCCAGTGTCCCTCTATGAGGGAGATGAACAGTTTCTAAATATGATAAATAAAGATCACATAACAGTGACAGGAAGAGTCAGTATTAGTGCCTCCAGACACACTCAAGATCATTAGTATATAACTTCTCCCTCTGAAGATATAAAACTGTGGTCTCGAGAAAATTGGGTATGACCATTCAAAAATTATCCTTGTACTATGCAAATAAAAATGTAGTTCATCTTCAGTCATGAACATATACAACATTAATCAAAGACGTTACACACTGCTATTCCTATCCGTAGCCTCCTTTAATGTTTTATCCCCATCCCCACCAAAACAAACAAGACATTGAGTCGGTTGGGTATACATCGGTATGTGATGGGAGTTAATTATGTGGATTTTTTCACATAGAAAGTGAAAATAAAAGTTTTAAACTGCAAATCAGTCTATATAGCCTGAGTCTCCAGACAAAAAGCAATCACAAGGAGCACTAAAGATCATCTATGCTGCATAACCTAAGAACGACATAGGCAGTTTAATATATAGGTAGCCCTTGGTTAATGATCCCTCATTCAGTGACTGTTCAAAGTTATGACTGTGCTGAACAAGTGGTATTTATGTCTGGTCCTCAAAGTTCCAACCATTCCAGTACCCCCATTGTTACGTTATCATAATATGGATGTTTGGCAACCAGTGATGGTTGCAGCTTTCCACAATTATGAGAACAATTTGCAGGCCCTCCTGCACCCTCCAAGCCTCACTGCATTGTGCCTTGCTTCTCTGGCCGTTCATGCATCTTTCCCCACCTATCAGCAGCCACTTCCTGCTTGCCAGCCTGTTTGCAAGCCATCTGGGAATTGCAATTTCCTGCCAACTTTTACACTGACTGGTTGTTAGAAGCCAGCAGGATTTTGTGACAAGGTGCTCATTTAACGATCCATGATCCTGACTTAACAATGGCAATGGAGACTGCAGGGGTCGCCGTTACTAAGCAATGCAGGCATAAATCACACTGTGTTTTACAATCACGTCATTTAGAGATGGCATAATGCAAGGACTATCTGTACTTGCAAGTTTTTTCAATTCTTAGACATTTTAGCACAATGTCATCATAAAGCATGTGCATCCAACTAATAGAATTGTGGGCCTCAATAAATGTAAGCAAAGTTTTACATTTAGTAGAATTAATTCTGATTCATCTTAATATACTTTCACAGTTTGAATAAAGAAATCATCAAGGGAGAAATAACAAGAATGACTTTAGGAACAGAAAAAAGTTTTTAAAATGCTAGCAATCAATGATGCTCACAAATACAATTTTGTGTCAATATTAAAACACTTTTGTATATCATCTCATTAAAAGAAGGATAACATACCTATGCTGTTTGTTGAACTACACCACATAAGCAGGAATGCAGTACATAATATATTTATTGCACCGAACAACAAGATCTTCCATGACTGTAAATAAACAACAGTTGAAACAAGTTTAATAAAGTGGGTTTTACTGGGGAAAAAACCCTATAATCTACAGATAAAATATTGAACATTCAGCTCAGGTTTCCCATGGCTCTGCTGAAGAAAGAATGCCAGAGCATAGTCTAGGATCAATGTATTCATAATTTTTCAAATAATGATTTATTGACCAACAGGTAGTCCTCGGTTTCTGACTATTGGAACAAGAATTTTTCTTGCTAAGCAAGGTGACTGTTAAGTGAGTTGTGCCCAATTTTACAACCTTTTTTGCCACAGTTAACTGAATTACTACAGTTTAGTGAATCCAGCTTTCCCCATTGACATGGATTGTTGGAAGTCTGCTAGGAAGGTCATAGTTGGAAATCCCGTGACCTTAGGACACTGCAACTATGGTAAATACATGCCAGTTGCCAAGCACACAAATTTTGATCTTGTGACCGTGTGGATGCTGAGATGACATTCAACAGGGCTAAAAGAAATAACTATAAAATATTATGTAACACAATGAAAACTCAATTAAATCCTATTAGAAAATTCCAGAAAATAATAAGAATAAAATCTCAATATGCTTCCATCAGCCAAAAACCACTTCCATGTCAAAGGCTTGTTTATAAATATTAAGCATATTTCAATCTTTCTATCCTACAATATTGCTCAATAATAACAGTATGTTTGATGCATCTCATAACATAGAAGTTATATTTATTATGCAATTTACAAGAATAAAAAAAGTTTAACAGGAACAAAGGAACAAATATAAGGAAAGTATAGGAGAGCAACTGGAACATGAAATAGGTTAAAAGTGATTGAGGAACAAATCAGTGTCACTGATTAAAACTCTTTAAAAAATAAACATCTATGTATTACATTATTTTCTTGCCAGTAAATGAAAACACTTACCCTTCGATCAGCAGCTACAGTTCTAAATTCCTGTGTTAACTTGCCCAGAAGAGACCGCTGTGATTTGCGAAACAAATATATTGTTCCCTACAAACAAGATAGCAATAATTATTTACTAAATTTTCTACTTTTTTCTAACATTCCAAATCATGAACTTGATTTCTACATGCAATCTATCACAATAAACATTATCTCCATGCTAGCTAACATTTATAAAGTAACAAAACACTCACTGAAGGTAAATCTACTAATATATATACAGTCTATACCTGTTAAAATGCCAAGGTTTTGAGATGTAAAAAAAAAGGCCAAGATAAATCACTTTAGAATGTTTCATCTTTAATGTAACATATATGCTCTACAATTCAATTGAAAAACAAACTGAAATCTTTTACAGGGAAAATAATAATAAATATTAGAATAATGTGGCTGCATAACTCTGCATACCTTCTTATAAGTAGGGATATGGTTGTGTTCAGAATTAACCAATCACATTCAAACTGATGGTAAATAGTAGTCAGTACATACCTGCCATCAATTAAAGTGACTTTGATCAAGCCCATATATAATTCAGCACTGCTAGAGGGATTTTTCTGCTATTTACTCAGTTGCCTCTTACAGCAAAAGCCTTGGTCTGTAAAGAGCTTACAAAGTATAAAGGGATCTCATTTCAGAAGAAGGGTATAATTTTTCCCCCAAAGCATTGGATATACCAACAAACACAAGGAAGACAGCAGTGGTGGGTTTCAATTTTTTTTTACTGCCGGTTCTGTGGGTGTGGCTTGGTGGGCGTGGCATAGCTTGGTGGGTGTGGCTTGGTGGGCATGGCAGGGGAAGGATACTGTAAAATCTCCATTCCAATCCCACTCCAGGGAAAGGTTACTGCAAAATCCCCATTTCCTCCCGATCAGCTGGGACTCGGGAGGCAGAGAATAGATGGGGGTGGGGCTAGTCAGAGGTGGTATTTACCGGTTCTCCAAACTAGTCAAAATTTCTGCTACTGGTTCTCAAGAACTGGTCAAAACCTGCTGAAACCCATCTCTGGAAGACAGTCATTAACAAGTGGAAAAAATATGGCACAACAGTGATATTACCAAGAACTGGACATACCTCCAAAATTGATGAAAAAAACAAGAAAACTGGTCTGAGAGACTGCCAAGAGGCCTGAAGCAACATTAAAAGAATTGCAGGAATTTCTGACAAGTACTGGTTCTATACTACATGTGACAACAACCTCCTGTGTTTTTCCTATGCCTGAGATGTGGGATAGGATGGCAAGGTGGAAGTCGTTTCTTACAAACAAAAACATCCAAGCCCGGCTACATTTTCCAAAAACCTACATCAAGTCTAACAAAAACATGAAGAAAAAATATTTTATGGTCTCATGATGACAAGATCAGTGTTGAACTTTTTGGCCATAATTCCAAAAAGTCTGTTTGGCGGAAAAACAACACTACATATCACCAAAAGTATACCATACCTACATTGAAGCATGATGATGGCAGCATTATAATTTAGGGTTGCTTTTCTTCAACTGGAACAGGGCCTTTAATCAAAATTATGAACAGTTCCAAATATCAGTGTTGGCACAAAACTTTTAGGCCTCTGCTAAATTGCTGGAGATGAAGAGGCATTTCAACTTTCAACATAACAACCAAAAGCATACCACCAAAAGAAAGGCTTCACCAAAAGATAATCAAAGTTTTGAAATGGCCCAGCCAGAGTCCAGATCTACAGGTGAAACTCAAAAAATTAGAATATCGTGCAAAAGTTCATTTATTTCAGTAATGCAACTTAAAAGGTGAAACTAATATATGAGTTAGACTCATTACATGCAAAGCAAGATAGTTCAAGCCTTGATTTGTCATAATTTTGATGATTATGGCTTACAGCTCATGAAAACCCCATTTCACAATCTCAGAAAATTAGAATATTACATGAAATCAATAAAACAAGGATTGTACATAGAACAATATCGGACCTCTGAAAAGTATAAGAATGCATATGTCCTCAGTTCTTGGTTTGGGCTCCTTTTGCATCAATTACTGCCTCAATGCGGCATGGCATGGATGCTATCAGCCTGTGGCACTGCTGAGGTGTTATGGAAGACCAGGATACTTCAATAGTGGCCTTCAGCTCTTCTGCATTGTTTGGTCTCATGTCTCTCATCTTTCTCTTGGCAATGCCCCATAGATTCTCTATGGGGTTCAGGTCAGGCGAGTTTGCTGGCCAATCAAGCACAGTAATCCCGTGGTCATTGAACCAGGTTTTGGTACTTTTGGCAGTGTGGGCAGGTGCCAAGTCCTGCTGGAAAATGAAGTCAGCATCCCCATAAAGCTCGTCTGCGGAAGGAAGCATGAAGTGCTCCAAAATCTCCTGGTAGACGGCTGCGTTGACCCTGGACTTAATGAAGGAACACCAGCAGATGACATGGCTCCCCAAATCAACACAGACTGTAGAAACTTCACATTGGACTTCAAGCATCTTGCAGTGTGTGCCTCTCCATTCTTCCTCCAGACTCTGGGTCCTTGTTTTCCAAATGAGATGCAAAAGTTGCTCTCATTAGAAAAGAGGACTTTGGACCACTGAGCAACAGACCAGTTCTTTTTATCTTTAGCCCAGGTAAGACGCTTCTGACGTTGTTTGTTGTTCAGGAGCGGCCTGACAAGAGGAATATGACATTTAGAGCCCATGTCCAGGATCCATCTGTGTGTGGTGGCTCTTGATGCACTGACTCCAGCCTCAGTCCACTCCTTGTGAAAGTCCCCAACACTTTTGAATGGCCTTTTCCTGACAATCCTCTCCAGGCTGCGGTCATCCCTGCTGCTTGTGTACCTTCTTCTTCCACTCTTTTCCCTTCCACATAACTTTATATTAATGTGCTTTGATACAGCACTTTGGGAACATCCAACTTCTTTTGCAATTACCTTTTGAGGCTTTCCCTCCTTATGGAGGGTGTCAGTGATGGTTTTCTGCACAACTGTCAGGTCAGCAGACTTTCCTATGATTGTGATTCCTACTGAACCAGACTGAGAGACCATTTAAAGGCTCAGGAACCCTTTGCAGGTGTTATGGCTTAATTAGCTGATTAGAGTGGGACACTTTGAGCCTAGAATATTGAACCTTTTCACAATATTCTAATTTTCTGAGATTGTGAATTTGGGGTTTTCATGAGCTGTAAACCATAATCATCCAAATTATGACAAATCAAGGCTTGAACTATCTCGCTTTGCATGTAATGAGTCTATCTCATATATTAGTTTCACCTTTTAAGTTGCATTACTGAAATAAATGAACTTTTGCACAATATTCTAATTTTTTGAGTTTCACCTGTAAATCCAATTTAAAATCTGTGGGATGACCTGAAGACGCTGTGCACAGGAGATGCCCTTGCAATCTGACAGATTTGGAGCCCTTTTGCAAGGAAGAGTGGGCAAAGTTTCCCAAGGACAGATGTGCCATGCTGATAGGCCCCTACCCCAAAAGACTGAATGCTGTCATAAAATCAAAAGAAGCTTCAATGAAGTATTAGTTTAAGGGTATGCATCTTTATGTAACCACATTATTATACTTTTTTTATTTCCCCCCAAAAAAGATTTCATTTTGTTTTTCAATTGAATTGGACACTTACATGTTACACTGAAGATGGAAAAAAAAATCTGAAGTGATTTATATTGGTCTAATTTTATACCTCAAAAACCTGGCATTTTAACAGAACTGTATAGACTTTCCATATCCACTGTATTGCCAGCTAGCTTTAAAATATTCACTCACTGCATTTTTACCCTATTGATTAAGAACCTCAAGAGTCCTAGGCGGCTTTATGATCAGCATAGCATTTCTTAGGTTGAGAGCAGACACCCTATGGGTACTTTTTAGGATTTTTATGGCTTTAAAATGATCTGAATCCAGACCACACAGTAAATTGTTTGCTCCAATCTCTTGAACAGGTGGCCATTTATTCACTAGTAAATTATACTTTTGCTGTTCCATAGAAGGTTATATTACAGTGTACGAGACTAAAGGAAGCAAGCAAACCTTTTTCTTGACATGTGACTAAAAACAACTATTTATAACTACTTATTGATTAAATTCCTAATTAAAAACACTTCCAGACTATCTGGTTCGATGAGCCAAGCCATCCTTCCAGCCACTGCACCACACCTCCTCTCAGGGGAAACCCCACACATCGGGTATAGTGGGCTGCAATCCAGCTACATTTCCCCCTTTAACATGAAACGGGACTCCCAGTACAGCAGAGATTAAACAAACTGCCTTCTACACACACTTGGAGCTTTCTGCGCAGAAAGGCTTGGAATCTTCCCTTTGGAAAGCTATTCTCCAGCCTTGACAGCCACCTTTCCCTGCTGCAGGGAAGTCGCCTCCTTCAGAACTGGGAAGCCGGTCAACGTCCCACTCCTAACATCCTCTCACGGTTGCACCACGTTTAACACCGACTCGCCACGCAGCCTTCGAGGCCCACAACCGCCCCCCCCCCCACTCCGCCCTCCCAAGATGGGAACTCACCATATTGCGGAACGAGCGGCTCCCAACGGGACCGGAAAAGGCGGGCGCCTCCTGTCACCAAAGAAAGGAGTAGGAGTTGAATTAGCTGACGTGTAATTGGCCGACCCCGGAACTAAACAGGAAGTGACGTCACCTCGTCCCGCCCCCTCGGCTCCCCGCTCGGACCCAATCGAGGCAGAGAACGAGGTTCGCCTGTGCCGGTGTTCCGTTGCCTTGGAAAGGCGCACGCGATAACCGCGGTAGCGACCGATAAAAGTTTACGTGGGTTTATTTCTCGATGGGGGCGAAGACCGTTATTTCGGGATACGGTCCGATAACAACTGTTAGGAATGCCTTGTGGCAACGGTGGAACTGCAATTAGAAATATTAGAGCGGTGGGCACAAGTGGCATCTTAAGTCAGAGGTGAGGAACTGTGGCCCCTTTTATGGCTGGCTCAGGAATTCTGGGAGTTGAAGTCCACAAGTCATAAAAAGGGCCATAGTTCCCCACCTCCTGATCCAGTGTTTCTCAACCTTGGTAGCTTGAAGATGGGTGGACTTCAACTCCCAGAATCCCCCAGCCAGCAGCGCTGGCTGGGGGATTCTGGGCCCTGATCGAAGTACTCTTTCAGAATTCCTCGCGCAACCCAGCGCGCTCCATAAGTGTTGGACTTCCAAGTCCTATAATTTCCAGTTTAGTAGTTCCCTGGGAATTCTAAGGAACTGTAGTTCAGCAGAATTGGAGGACACCAACGGAGGAGGAATCAACTTTTCTTCCCGTTCAATGCAGGGTGCAGTCTGTCACAGATCTGACTCGCAGCTTTTAAGAAGCTGCAGTTAAGCTAGTCATAAAATGCAAGGTGAAAATGACTTGTTTTGTGTCCCAAGTCGCAAACCAGTTGACCGTATCTTAACCTAGCATGCTGGAATAACATCAAGCATGCAACCTGGAAGTAAGGAATTTCCCGATTGATCAATGGAACAGCAATGCCTCCCGGAGTTTTTCCAAGAAAACACCGGACCACCATTTGTCCGGTTATGGTATAAAGACTTCTGCTTTGACTAGGAGGTTGGACTAGATTTCCAAGGTCCCTTCCAGTCCTATAGTTCAGTATCAGGTGAGATTGTGCATCACATTAACAAAATGTAGACTTGAATGACTTCTGATTAATAGTTCTAAGAACCCTTGAATGAAAACACCTCTATTTTGCAAGCCTTTGAAAAGTATTCAAGACACGTTTTAAAGCATATTGTTTCAGCTTTGTTTTGTATAAGCGGACTGAAAATACTGTTTGTGTACAACAGTACACAAATACATTCATCGTGTTAATGTAATCTGTCCTTCAATAGGACTTACTTTCTAACAGCTGGTTTTCCTAGTTCTTAAAAGCAGGAAAGTTTACTTTTCTTTTTATATAATGTAGTATTCTCAGTCTGATGCTATCCAAATAAGAGTGCCCAACCAGTACCAGAAAGCAATTGAAAACAACTTTTTCCAAAAGCTTTTTATTCACATTTTAACTCTATAGTATAAATGTCTTAATTTTTTTTACTTTAGTTACAGAACTAGTGACTAATATTCTGATGCCCCAAGTAACAGTCATGCAAAATTGTATTATTGTGAAAGTTGTCTTGTGGCATAGTTTATAGGATAATTAAGATATCAAGGTAGAGGTATGTTATATTTCATATATTTTGAGTGTAATTAAAAAAAAGAATGAAACCAACATCTCACAATCCATTTTAACATACTTCAAAAATATTGAATAGTCAAATTACTGTTTCCACATTTTTATTTAGAAAATAACAGCAGAGGAAATTGTCTGTTTCAACACAGTAAATTAGAATTTAAATAGTTAGATTTCTAGTCTTATTTCAGAGATAGCAAATGGAAATATCCCACAACAGTCATTATCTTATGATATGAGAAATATTAACAGCAAAAAGTAATACTGTAGGCAAGAGATTTGCAGGAACTCAACATAGAATAAAACTGAGTATTAAGACAAACTGCAACAAATAAGTTTGTCAATCTAATTTTACATGAACATTTTTCATATTTATACACATTTTCCTAATAATATTTCATATTGTGATACCTAATTTCAATAGCTAGAATATGAGAACTTTCTCAAAATGAGTTCAAAGTTGTCTCTTCATATCTGAAAATCTGTTCAATAAAAAAATCCTAATTTTAGTAGCACCTTTGATTTAAAATAACTTATTTACATGTCAAGTTTTTATTAAATGAGATAACTAATTGAGAAGAACATTCTTTACAGAAAGGTAACAGATGCCTGTTAGGACTTTCAGGAACTTGTATGTATGGATAGAAGTGTTTTCCTCTGTTTTTCCCCATGTAAATAGCATAAAGCCTTTTTTAGAAGAATTTTGAAAACAAAATTTTAAATTGTCTAGGATGTCTGTTCACTGGACATCCAAGATGTGTTACAGAAGAGCCCGGATGATACAGTAAACGAACATCGGTTAAAAATCCAACTGCTATGGGGTAGATTATGGTGGTTGCTTGATAACTGAAAACAGGCATGGTAACAGTTTATGCTACTCATTGAACAAATAAATCCTACATCCATCTTGGAATGAATTTGGAGCCTTCATCAGATTCTCATTAATGCTAGCACATTAAAAAAACCTGGAGGAGCCTAGTACACTATTTTCTAGAAAATACAGAAGTATTATTAAAATGGTATGAGGCAAATAACTATGTTTCTCACATATATTTCTATTAAAGAGAATTGAAATAAGGCATGATTACAATCATTGCTCGATTATGGCTTGAATGAAAATGTATTAAGTGTTATCTTTATTTCAAAGCAATATTAATTGCATAAAAGCAAACAGTCTGTAGCGTCCCACCATATTTCAAAATTTGCTAAATACTTACACATAACTGAGATTTCAGATGTTCCCCCTCCCAAAAATGCTTAATAAGAAAGGTAGCACTGCCTTTACCAAATATAATATACATGAAGCTAAAAATTCAACCACTTGAATTCAAAATTCAGCCATTTGAATTCTTATGAAGTAAGCTATAATACAGAGAATACACTAGGATCTCTAGAATCTGTTTAAGCAAGCATCTGAAATACTTCTAACACTTGCTTAAAAAGGAATTAAGCCAATTGATTTGGCAGTTTTAATTCTGTTTTTATATATCTAAATCACCTAGAATACTAATTCAAATAGCATAAAATATTACTTGCCTGAGTAAATTTTTGCTTTAATCAATCAGACTCTGATTGCAAGCATAATTCAGAAATTAAATTAAATTAAAATTAAATTAAAATAAGGCAGATTATTGCAGCCTTTACTTAAAGCCTTGGATGAGAAGTTAAACATTTTCAAAGAAAAAAAAGTTCAATTGCCTTTTCAAAAAAGCACCTTTGGGACAACCATGACCTGGATGATTGAGAATCTCTATAGACAGTAATTTTGATTATTAGGTTTTGAAGTCTGATGTATTTGTAGATTTAAAATGACAATTATGACCATTCTAATTGAGACTTCAGGCAACCATTTAGTACATCAAGGAAAAAATAAAAAGGTTCAATGTCCTTGGATTAGATTATCCAATTTTAGAATAAAGGGTCACATGATCAGGAAGCTTTAGACAAGTATACCGTAAGTTGTTCAAGGATTAAAATTAATACAACTTTAAATAAGACTGTATAATCACTTTATTGTATACTGTACCAGTATGAAGAGCTGAAATAGCAGAGTAGCTAGTGTCATCAGTTTTTTGGAAATGTCCTTTTACTGTGTAACAAACATCTTTATCATTTACCTTTAGCAAGAGTGTTAATACTATGCAGTATTTCTGTATTCAGATGCATCAATATGGTCTTGAAATTATTTCAAAAATAAAACAGGAAAAGAGGCTTTAAATTTATTCCATAATAGATACATCTTACAAATATTTGTTGAAGTTGGAGACATGCATCTGTACATACCCACAAACACACTTTACGTGTAAGCAAATAAAATCGGAGGAGAAGAATATTAAAGGGTATCCACAATAGTATGAAATCTAACCTTTCCAAATTCTCAAAGATAAATCACAATTAATCAGTTTCAGATAGTAAAATACTTGCCCTATTCAATCAAACTGTAAGAGCCAAGTAACATAGTTTTATTGTATTTTCAGTAAAGCTGTGATAGTTTAATAACTCATACAAAGATTTAATAACAGCTGTTAATAGAACAATGTATTATTTTTTAGATTTGCCTTTGCACATAAGGCATAATTTATTCTATAAGATAGCATCTGAAGAAATCTCTAGAAGTGTGAAAATCTTATCTTAAGATTAGTATTGTTGATTTGCAAATAGTATGTATTGTCAAATAAAATTTAAATAAACTTCATGAAATCCTGCTTCAAGTTCAAAAGTAGCTTTCAAAAGTAGCTTTCAGAAACCAATAATATTTTAATAGAAATGTTACTCTTCTGTCCCTGTTTTTCTATCCTTTTGCACAACTACTAAATTTTAAAAAATGAATTAATCTTTATTCATTTATCTACTTCATACCCTTTCTATTATAGCAAACATACAATTGAATAAATTATTCATTTTGTAAACACCAATCATATTAGACAGAGAAGTAAATCCATCTGTTCCTTTAATATTAAAAGGCCATTATATTACAAGTAATTTAATAAAAATTTTTAAAAATGGTTGCGTAACTATAAACTGAAACATATGGTAGATATAAAAGACCAATTTAACAATTACAGCTATGATCACTTGCATATCTTAGAAAATCACCAGAATGGAACATTCTGGCTTTTGGTCATTGTGGTCACAAAAACTAGCACTGAAGAGAAACTCTGTTGATTTAAATTAATACTATTTCATACTTTGACTGATACAAAAACAAGATCCTACTATGGATATTTATAAATGCAATGGAAAACTCCTGCAGGAAAAAAAAAAACTTTAAGCCATTTGGTTTACCAATTGGTTGTACTAATATATTGACTGTGGGACTTCACAAAGAGAAAGAACAGACTATGTAAATGCTTTGTATTGTGGACTTTTCAAAATAATATTCTTATGCATATGGGTTTATTTTTAATTTGGCACATTATCAATACACAAGAAACTGAAAGCAAGGCTTAGTGATTAAGAAAAACACAATAAAAGTAAATATCATGAGCAACGTTTAGAAAATACAAAAAAAGTACACAAAGTATATTTTTCCTATCATTCATTGGTAGAATTCTCTTCCCCATTTTACTGTGCTCTCATGGTTTGTTGGGTATAAATCCTGGTATTAAAGTTTAGGGAGCTCATCATCAACTATACAAATCAGTCTTGCCTTTAAGTGCAGATACTACTGATGTCTTGTAAACATTCAGCATTAGTTTGAATCAGCTGTCCCTTGCTGACAACAATCTCCCCTTCTTTGATAAAGTTGTTGATCAAACTGTAGTGTCTCCAAAGGCTTTGTTCCAGCGAATGTAAGCTTCTAAGGTTTGAGGGCTAAGACTGCATTTTATTTTCTTCAAAGACTCATTGAAATCTGACAGCCGAATATTCCTCATCTAAAAGGAAAGAAAAAACATACTTGAGTATCACATATTATTCAGAGATCACTCCCCGTGCGTGCATTCAGTTAGCCATGTTCCCAGGAAGTTTTGTTGATTAGAAAGATTTGGTGTTATAGAAATGGCTAGTTATATATTAATGTGTAAAAGTAAAAAGTTGAGGTTGGAGTGTGTTTATCTTATACTGTGCTAGGAAGAGTTGGAAGTCAATGCTCCCTTTTCTTTCTTTTTGTCTTCTCCCTTGTGTTTCACACCCCCTTTTTCCCGTTCCCTTTCTCTCCCTTAATTTTCTATTTTCTTTTCTTTTTGTATTTTGTATAATAAAAATAAAATTGATAAAACAGTATCACATATTATTGGGTTTAAAACTTGTTTTCTAAAACAAGTTTTCTTTATTAACATGAGACTATCAGCATTGAGAAGCAGACCAAAAGTAATTCAACTTGGATAAGTATTACTATGTTGATTCCACTAGATGGCACTAAAGTATGTGAATCAATTTCAGCAAATCATTTCAGATCATTCTCCCCCCCCCCCCCAATTTCTAGCCTGCTAAAATGACTTAAAATACAAAGTGCTTAAGGCAACAACATACTCTGATCTCTCTGCTCCCTATTTCAGTCTTAGTCTGTGCATTTGTCATGTCTCTGGAAATTTAGAGGACAAAGAATCTACTAACATGGTGCCATAATAGGAAAGGGAGAAGTTTCAACATTGAGCTGGGGAAACAGAACTTTCCAGAGCATACTAAAGGTTGCAGGATGGAATAGAAAAATCTATGTTGTACTCATGGAATAGTATTTTTTACACTACAGTGCTGTATAAGTGTCTATACATCTAGCCTTTTTTCTGAAGTGTTGCCTATTTTTTAGTTGCATTTGTGTTCTCAAATATAAAATTATGGTTAGTAATTATCTACTTAGAGGAATTATTTCTATGACATATTTAGGGGTATTTAGTTGCTTTTTAGTAGTATTGGATTTTTTTGATATTATATAGACCAACTTGACAACTTAGTACTCTTGTAAATTAAATGCAGGTGTTCTACTCTCAAAAGAGTATCCAAATAATTCATTTCATTTTGAATTTTCAGTTGTGCTCTGAAAACAATAAAAATACAAAATAGTAAAAATGATTGAATTGTTGAAGTTAGCAAAGCACATACCTCACTAGCAGACATGTTCTTCACCTGCTCAGGTTTTAATTCTGTAAATTAAAAGAAACATAATTAATTAGTTTCAAATCAATATATCCTATCAGAAAGCTTAAATATCTGAAGCATGACAACTCTGAATTCTGGCAGTAAAGCTGATTTAAACCAGATGTTTAAATTCATGTTTCTTCATCTTGTAGATAAGGCTCTAGGCAGATCATGGTCATATGACCATGGGAATGCTGCAACAGTTGTAAGTGAGAATTGGTCACAAGTCACTTTTTTCAGTGCCGTTGTAACTTCAAATGGTCACTAAACAAATGGTTGTAAATTGAGGACTATCTGTATTAGGCTTTCAAAGATTTGGGGAGCTTTTACAAGTTGAAGAAGGAACTTACTTCCCAAAACTTTCCATTCTCACTACCATTTTAAAAGAACCCATAAAAAGAAAAAAAGTTAAATCTTTATTTTCAAATTCTGATACATTGCTATAGACTCCAAAGAGGATTGTTGTTAATAGATAATTAATAGATAATTATCTATTATGTCTATTATCTGTTGATAATAGATATTTGCTAATATTATCTATTATAAAACAAAAAGAAAATATTTCAACTATTTTAGATTTAACAATCTGATACACTAAATTTGTTTAAGCTTGTACCTTGTCTTTTTATACTCAATCTTTTTATCATTTAGTTACTATAGCTTTTTAGACTTCACTTTATTATTTCTTTTACCTTACTGTCACATTAATTGCCCCAGCTCCTACCCAACTAGAAATTCGAAAAGATGGAAATATGAATAGATAAATAGGCACCACTTCTCACCACTATGGTGGGAAGGTAACAGTCTTCCGTGTGTCTTGGTGTATAGACATGCTAGCCATATGACCATGGAAAATGTCTTCGCACAGTGCTGGTTCCCTTGACTAAGAAACAGAGATAAGCATCATCCCTAGAGTTGAACATGACTGGAAAGGGGAAACCTTTACTCTTTTTTTCATTAGGTTTCAATGTTTAGTTTGATTATGTTTTACTGTTATCCTGTCCTTATTGGATTAGTTGCAAATTCTGTTATATACTGTCTCGGTGCTAAACTACATTCCTAATGAACACTGTGTGTGTGTGTACACCTATGTATATATGTATACATGTATCTAATTTACAAAGTACCATTACAACCAATGTTAGCTAGTTAATTCCAATTATTGAAATTATTTTAAAATGCTACTAGCTATAGCAAGGACTTGAGCAAATTAAACTATTTCTTTGGATCTTAGCTTAACCAAAGCCGCATATCTGAGCACTTTTTAGAGGCACCTTACAGATGCATTTAATTCAAAGTTAAAATCGTGCTTACCTCGTATAGGGCCCAACGCTGCATCTTTTGCCAATGCTGTTAAGTCGCTACCTGAATATCCATCTGTCATTCTTTAGAAGAGACACAATTTCAAAAATTTATATTCTCTACAGAAAACTAACAAAGTTACATTCTTTATTATAAAGCAGTACAATACAAATGAGTAAACTAGAGTTTTGGATAAATTTTGGATAAAATAATTAGGTCCATAGTTCAGAAAGACTTTTCAATATTTAATGTTCTAATATTAATGATATTAAATTGTAGTCTTATCATTTAAGATGTCAGCATACTATATTTGATGAGAGATGAAGTGCTGATATCTTTTCTTTATAAACAGTGAGGAAGAGAAACGTGACTATGCCATTACTCAGAGCCATTACATTTAGCATTTCTTCTTACGAGCAACAGCTGCAAATATAACTAGGCTCTAGGCACAATCCACCTAGGTTTAGCAGTAAGTTAGAATTTACTCACCTAGCTAACTGTGCCAATTCCTTTTGGGTTAATGGATTTCCTTGTTTGCTCAAGAGATTTTTTAGTAAAAGCAGTCGAGTCTGCAAAATATAACATTCTCTATTTGCAATCTCACCTTTGTTTAAATAATCAAGCAAAGGCACTATACATCTGAAAATTGCGCAGAATGATTTTCACTTTGCAAAGGCAACACAGAGGATTAAGTTTGAAATCATATGGGGTAGAAGTATATTTTAAAAATATCTTTATGCTTCTATGTCTTGCTATTATACAGATATTAGCAAAATGCTAATGGCTTAATAGAAACACAGCAAACTGCAAGAGTTCAGCATTCTTCTATTCAATCTATAATGCCAGTTTTCTTTCGCATAAAAGTGAAAGCTTAGATTTCCAGATAAATGAAAAATAAGTAAACTTGAAGCAGAAAGATGAATTCTCTTCATGTAACCCTTTTACAAATAAGGCATACTCATAACTGATATAGTGACAATTAAACTTCCATCCACATTTAGGTTAATTCTGATGTTAATGGTAATTATAATTTAGGTTCAAATTGTCACTACTTCATAGGAAAATAATCAAAAAGTTAAAGAAAATTTAGATTATGGAAATGAGCAAAGGGAATAATTGACAAAGGAAATAATTAAAAAGAAGGAAAAGAAAAGGAAAAGAATATCACTACAGAAATCCTAGACCTTGTGATAGAAGAATCCATCCTATAATTAAACATGAACAAACCAATTTTTGTATTATTAATTTGCATCCAAGAATTGAATAGGAGACATTCTTTCTTTAAAATATCGCCATAATCTACATACCTCTTCATTGGGCAATGATACATATACTCTTTTGGTGAATCGTCTGAAAAAGAAATAGAAAGTATAGAAGAAAGTATAAAAAGAGCTACTTAAGATTCCAGATATAATAAAAAATATTGAAAATATAATAAAGTTTTCAAACCAGGATTGTAGTTAGCAAAAATGATTTTTTTAACTCTAAAATTTAAAATTGGCCCTATGTTTATTGCTAGCAGTTAATATTAGAATTTCAAGATCACACTTTCTTATCAGCCCAGCTGGCTTTGAGAAGTGGGAATTGTAGAAGAGATTATTATGAGGAAGAAAGATACACTGGGCTTGAGAAAGTGGAATACAGGCAAAGAAAGAAAAGGGAAATAAAAAAAAACAGGAAACAAATAGAAATTGAAAAATCTCAATTCAACATCAAAGCAGCTGCATTTTTCACTTAATTTTACTTATTTTGTAGGCATTTATTTTGTAGGTCTAAGTTCCAATTCTGTATGAATGTGCCAATTTAATTTGCTAACTTAATTATTTTTATTATTTATTTTTAAATAAATTAATAATTGTATAAAAATGACATCTTACTAAACTATTTAAAATATATACCTCAGTGACTTTACTGATTAGAATTTAACAGTGAAAGAAGAGGTGACATGAACAATGGAAGGAAGAAGAAATCACAAGTGTCATTAATAAAATTTAAATTCAGGCCCAATGCATTTTAGAAAATGTGTTGCTTTTTCAAGTTTGCCATAAAAACAGAAACAATGCAAAAATAGATACCAGAATAACTTTCAATACATACAGGTAGTATGACCAGTTGCTTAGCAACCATCCAAAGTTACAACAGACTCTCCCAAAAATCTTACCTCTGACCTGGATTTGAAGTTCCAACAGCTGGTGCCCCCCCCGCTCCCCCCATATCACATGATTGCATTTGGCACTTGGCAACCAGTACGTTTCTACAGTATCCTTGAAAAAGCAATAAATATTCCAAAATATATAGGAAAACTAAATTTTCCTGAACTGAGAGAAGTTTTGAAACACAATGGCATTTGGCCAGAAAGATCTCTCCATTTTCAGTGAATAGAAATTTATATTTCATTTTTAGTGTATTCAACCTGTCTTCAGTAACAAAATGAAGATAAATTGTTGATTTGTATCAAAAATATAGTTACAAAATATTTCCAACAATTCATTCCAATAATATTTCCAGTAAATATATCATCGAGGAAAATATTTATTGTCCATTTTTTTTTTTTTACCAAAATAAATATACTCTTTCCTCATGGCGTATCAAATTAGTGTTCAAGAATAGCATAAAAGCTAAATTTATATTATATATTCCTAATTAATTATGCATGAGTTAAAATACCTGAGTACAGCATCATCAAGCTCCTGTGGCCTGTTAGTTGCTCCCATTACTAAAATGCGATCTTCTCCTGAAGACTGTACCTTTTTTCCCCAGAAAGCAAATTCAGATAGAATCAGAAAAGAAAACATCACACTATAATAAAATATATATTCTTGTAACTGGGAACAAACTGTTTGCACAATACCATATTAATGGCAATGCAGAAACCATTATTATTTTGAGGAGTTTAATGACATATTATAATTATATCCTTATTATTAGGAAAAGTCTAGAAGTTTTTATTTCTTGTTTACTGAAGAAAGGAGAAAGGGCGACGGGAATCTTCAGGTAGCCTCAAAGCTTTTCATACACTGAGAGTCATAAACCACCAAGTCAAGGGGAGGTCTTGCAGTCTCCTGACAAATAACAGTCATGATGCTAGGTCTTGATAAAAACCTGGGGTTTGTCATGGTTGCCTCGCTAAGCAACCCTGCTCGCAACCAGATAACAGTAACGGGAGGTGGGAGGGAATGTAAGTGTGCTGTCTGGAAGCGTGAGACAGACTCAAACCCCAACTGGGATTGCAAGTGCAACTGCTTGGTGGACAATGGGAGGTCCAGGGAGGGAAAAGAAAAGTTTTCCTATAATATTTGCGTGTGAAAACATGAGAACTAGCTTTTCTACTTCTGTTCCCATATGGCTTTTCGGTAAAGTTATACCCTTGGAGAAAAAATGTCCCAGGAGGTTCCTTTGCTGTTTAATGCAGTCGGACTGTTGACAGGAATGTTGTTTGTTGTGAGCCTCTGCATTGAACCTAACATTGGGTACTGAGGAAACTGGCCACCCTTGTGGTATTTCTGCTGTTGTTATTAAGGAGCTCCTGGCAACTTGTAAAAGATTGGGGTATTATCATGCTTGTTATTGTATGCTTTTGACTTGAGGTAACAATAAAGCTTAAAGTCATTTTATTCACTGGTGTATATATTGTTTCTAGATCCAAAAGAACCAATTGTCTGGGTGCCTGATCACTGCCCTGACACTTGGCAAAACACACCACTTTGCTCTCATGTATAAATACTGTATTTCACTGTATAGTACATTATAAACACGTAAATAATTTCATTGGATTTGGTGGTCTTGAACCTAGCAGCAAGCACACTGAAAAATACTTGAAGCTTAGTAAAAGGGGGGGTGGGATGGCAAAGAACAGTAACAGTTCATCTTTTACTAGAAAAATCTCTACTGTTTTGTTTTTTAAAAAAATCAATAATAGAAAGTTTAATCTTTAGAGTCAAAAAATGCTATATAACTGCCACTAACACTCAGCACTGTAATACTGTTCAACGTTTAATACTTACGCCATCAAACTCTATTAAGAATTCTGTTTTTAAACGTCGGCTAGCATCATGTTCACCTTCTCTTCTTTCACATAATAAACTATCCACTTCATCTAAAACGTAAAGATAACCTTTATTGTCATTTTTTACTGTGAGCACACTGTCATACATTAAAAATGAAATTCTGTTGCCTGCTCAAAAGAAAGTATATATCTACCCTTACCCATACATTACACACATATGTATACATGCTATATTACAGGTGAAACTCAAAAAATTAGAATATTGTGCAAAAGTTCATTTATTTCAGTAATGCAACTTAAAAGGTGAAATTAATATATGAGATAGACTCATTACATGCAAAACGAGATAGTTCAAGCCTTGATTTGTCATAATTTGGATGATTATGGCTTACAGCTCATGAAAACCACAAATTCACAATCTCAGAAAATTAGAATATTGTGAAAAGGTTCAATATTCTAGGCTCAAAGTGTCCCACTCTAATCAGCTAATTAAGACATAACACCTGCAAAGGGTTCCTGAGCCTTTAAATGGTCTCTCAGTCTGGTTCAGTAGGAATCACAATCATAGGAAAGTCTGCTGACCTGACAGTTGTGCAGAAAACCATCACTGACACCCTCCATAAGGAGGGAAAGCCTCAAAAGGTAATTGCAAAAGAAGTTGGATGTTCCCAAAGTGCTGTATCAAAGCACATTAATAGAAAGTTATGTGGAAGGGAAAAGTGTGGAAGAAAAAGGTGCACAAGCAGCAGGGATGATGCAGCCTGGAGAGGATTGTCACGAAAAGGCCATTCAAAAGTGTTGGGGACTTTCACAAGGAGTGGACTGAGGCTGGAGTCACTGCATTAAGAGCCACCACACACAGACGGCTCCTGGACATCGGCTCCAAATGTCATATTTCTCTTGTCAAGCCGCTCCTGAACAACAAACAACGTCAGAAGCGTCTTACCTGGGCTAAAGATAAAAAGAACTGGTCTGTTGCTCAGTGGTCCAAAGTCCTCTTTTCTGATGAGAGCAACTTTTGCATCTCATTTGGAAAACAAGGACCCAGAGTCTGGAGGAAGAATGGAGAGGCACACACTGCAAGATGCTTGAAGTCCAGTGTGAAGTTTCCACAGTCTCTGTTGATTTGGGGAGCCATGTCATCTGCTGGTGTTGCTTCATTAAGTCCAGGGTCAATGCAGCCGTCTACCAGGAGATTTTGGAGCACTTCATGCTTCCTTCCGAAGACGAGCTTTATGGGGATGCTGACTTCATTTTCCAGCAGGACTTGGCACCTGCCCACACTGCCAAAAGTACCAAAACCTGGTTCAATGACCATGGGATTACTGTGCTTGATTGGCCAGCAAACTCGCCTGACCTGAACCCCATAGAGAATCTATGGGGCATTGCCAAGAGAAAGATGAGAGATGAGACCAAACAATGCAGAAGAGCTGAAGGCCGCTATTGAAGCATCCTGGCCTTCCATAACACCTCAGCAGTGCCACAGGCTGATAGCATCCATGCCATGCCGCATTGAGGCAGTAATTGATGCAAAAGGGGCCCAAACCAAGTACTAAGTACATATGCATTCTTATACTTTTCAGAGGTCCAATATTGTTCTATGTACAATCCTTGTTTTATTGATTTCATGTAATATTCTAATTTTCTGAGATTGTGAATTTGGGGTTTTCATGAGCTGTAAGCCATAATCATCCAAATATGACAAATCAAGGCTTGAACTATCTCGCTTTGCATGTAATGAATATATCTCATATATTAGTTTCACCTTTTCAGTTGCATTACGAAATAAAGTAATGAGACTTCATCGAAACGTCGCCAAGACACTTCCAATTTTACACAGGAGAAAACCTGAATAACCAAAGACCTATATATACCTATACCCATGCATATATACATATATATTAATCACTGTCCATTTTGAATACATAGCAGAAATTATACAATCAATATTAAATATATACTTTAATACAGTGTAAAATTGTTGTAAAAATGCAACCCTCTATATTCTAAATAGCATATATTTCTCAAGAGCTCTTAAGTAAATTATCAACATTTTTAGGAATGACAATTAAAATTTCTGGTCCAGGTTATTAATATACTATCTGCAAAGCACTTAGCCAAATATGGCTTATCTTAAAAATCTAAGCAATCAGATCTAGTTAGTACCTGACTAGGAGACCCAACAGGAAATCTTAGGATAGGAGGCTAGACCAAGAAGTTTAGAAAAAAAGAGAAGGTAATGGGAATCTATTTCCATACATTGGTTAAGAAAGTTAACAAGTACCTGTCAAGGTCATTGATTGGGGAAAATTTTGCTTTTTTTAAAAAAAGAAAAAATTCCTGTTCTCCAGTAGGGATTATCAGTACTTGTTATAACTGGTATAAAATAAATTTAAAACTGTGGTTTAAGAACGTATTATTTCGGCAATACAACTCAATATAATAAAATGGATAATGAATAATATGTTATTCTCAATTAAAAGACTATTTTTAGAAGGTTTATGCTTTAAATTTAAATCAAAATTTTAACTAGTCAGATACATGAAATTTTACCAATAAAAATGATAGAAGGCTGAAGTTCTCTAGCTACTGCAAAAAGTGCACGGACTAGTTTCTCTCCTTCACCAACCTAAGGGAAAAAAACAAAGAAGGTACCTACTTCAAATTGATTGAATCATATGCTTCACAACTGGCATATTATCAGTGGATACTAAAACACGACTAACTTCATCTATTCTATGACTGTGTGACATTAAATCTGTGTTACAATATTTACTATATTATAATTAAATTAATTTTTAAAAGTTCATCAAAGTTTTCATCTCTATCTCCCTCTACAAGCCAGGCACACATAAAAAGCTTCCCCCCCCCCCCCAAGCAGGCTACCCCAAAGAATGTGGAATGGAAAAGGTTTTAAAAGGAAATGGGTTTTTACAAGATTAATATATACTTATTACTCCAAGCTAATAACAAAGGAAAATATAGAATCATACAATCATACTGTATTGGAGGAGCTTTTTTGCTTCTGTCTTGAAAGAAACACTAAACTGAAATGTTAACGTAACACATATAATATAAAAATCTGTTGCTGCCAATTAATGCAGATATGTCTTTCTAAGATCTTTTATATTACAGCTTTGAAGTTTTATGTATTCCAGTGGAATAAAATTAGATACGGATGTAGATGCAAAATTAGAATAGTTTAGAAACAGATAAATATTATTTCCAATGTACTGGAATCTGGTGAAAATACCGCTCCATTTATTATTTTTTTGAAAACTTCCTAAGATGATTTGTTAACCACAGCCAGAATATAATATTGCTACTCACATATTTTGATGTCAGACTTGCAGCACTTATGTTAAAGAAGGTTGAATTTGATTCTGCAGCCACTGCTTTGGCCTATATTTAAAAAAAATATTGGTTGAAAGCTGCAACATAATACCAAGCATGTAACATCTTTCAGCAATGTAATTATCCTTATTATTAAGAGTTCTGCTGAATTGGGCACATATGTGCCCAGTAAATAACTATATATGTTAAAGGAAATTTCAATCTGTCAGCACTTTAGCAACATATGTTATACTTTTAAATGTTTGCTTATATATTTCAGATTTTACTTTTCCGTGTAAGATACTGTGAAATTCTGACCATTCTTCTAACTGGAGTACCCAAGACCCAGCATGAAACTACTCTGTTATCTCAAAATGATAGGAAAGAATATTTCTTGGGTACACATATAAAAAGCCGCCTTGAGTCTTCAGAGAGGGGCGGCATATAAATTGAATTAATTAAATATAAATTGAATTAATTAAAATATAATGTTCAAACACTGTTCCATAAGTAATATGCCAAAGCACAAATAGACAGTATTTTCTGGCTAAAGGGAAGGGCAGAACAACTGAAATGAATGAGCTGGGAGTACAAATGGCATCTATTTTTCTGGATTAAGGGACGAAATTTTGAGGATTTTGAAAGAAAGAAATTATTTTAAGCCTCTTTTAAATCTCACATGTTTGTCTCCTGTCTTAAAATGACAGAAAAACACACTGCCAATTTTTAGCAAATATAATCAGATTTAGAAGAGGTCCTAGCTCTCTTACCAGCATCGTCTTCCCATTTCCTGGTGGGCCAAACAACAACAATCCTCGTGCAGGAGCCCTAAGTCCTGTAAACAACTACAAGATTGACTGAATTACATTTTGGTTCATGGCATAATCAGAACTCTTCAGCCTATAAACTAGTAATTTTATACCTGAGAGAAAACATTGTTAATGTGTTTTGCAGTAGATATGAAAAACACTGATCATCCTGATCACTGAATATTTTGTCATCAAACTCTATTTTTTTGTACTTGATACTGGGTCAGGATAAGAGTCTAGGAAAAATAGGTCAAAAAAGACCACTAAAAAAATCAAATAATACAAAATAAAATTGTGAAACTAATGCTTAAATTACTAAATTTAAGATATATTATTTGGAATTTACCAAGCTATAAGGGCTATAGAAACAATACATTTTCTAGAATGGAATTAATTTATTTTTTATTATTATAAATTGATATTCATTTTTCAATCAACTAATGCTATTATAGCCTATTATCCAGGATTGCAGTTCTACGTTTTCTTCACAAAGTGTATTTTAATAGCCAGGTGTGATCCATCTGACAGAAGAAAGAAGAGACAGCAAAACTGCCTCCAGTTGTCTGTTCTGGCTAATACATATACTGTGGATTTATTTTGCTAATTGCCTTTAGTGTTTATCTTAAGAAAACGAACATGTAACATAGAGAGTATATTAGTTGGAATGATTATATAAAGATATGTCTTTTATTATAGCATTAACAATAAGTTTGTTTTTCTTTCTTGCAACATCTTTAAACATAGCCTGAAGAGAAAATTAGCTACAATAGACATAAAAATGTGATATACAATAGTATATAAATGAAACACAATGGGGGCCTTTAGACCTTTGTTCTGATATTTTTCACAACAGACCAAACATTAATAAGAGCAGTAGCCACCCATCAGCAAAATTCACAACATCTCAAAAATTCACACCAAATGGATACAAGCAGTTTTTTTTAACAAACAATGAAACACAAGAATTGTGCCTCATAGGTAAATATTAAATATATGAATTTCAGAACACAATAAAAATTAAATTACCAATTCATTTTTAAATATTCAAGAATATGTTTTCTGATAATTTAAGTTCAATTTTCCTACCTTCTATTTATTAGAAATGGATTGTGATGGCAAGCATTTGTTCATTCAATTGCCAGAGAATTGAACCTGGATTGATTGCACTTAACTACCTGTACTTATCAATAGTAATATTATTTCAATTGTCAATTGATGCTACAAATGCAAAATCTGAACTCTGGTGCCAAAGTCTACTGAAAGATTGGAAACCCAGGTGACTTGATCAAATATTTATATGTAGGGACTCTAAATCAAATATTCACCTGCAAAATTTTAAGAGCCAAATCAAAACTATTTCCTGAAAGTTGTGTTCAAAAATGTGCCCACTGTTTCCTCAAACTGCAGCAGAGATAGGAGGACTAGGGGTCATTAAGTGTGGCCATCTTACTTAATGACCATCACTGCTTGCAACAATAATGGGCAGGCTCCATTACAGTCATAGGTCAAAGAGCATCTGTAGACCTATTTTATCTTTAATACTGGTTTGCAGATACACTTTGCCTGCCAGCATACTAAACAGAAGGGCAATTTTCACTTTCATTAGGTTTCTGATCCAGCTCAGCATGTTCGCTGGCAGAATGGAAGAGCAAATTTGACAGTACTTCCACTCTACTGTAGATTCCTAGAACACAAAAATCTGGTTCTAAAAATAGAGAGACCATCTGGAGAACATGGAAGAGTGAGTGGTAGGTGCTGCATATGAAGAGATGGTTAAAATTGTTTCTCCCTCCGTTCCTGGGCAAGGAGGATTCTCAGCAGAATTTCATTTAGAAATGGATGATATTCATAGGAAGGGCATACCTAATATTAACTTTCAATTGAAAATATAATTATGCTTTGTTTAAACTTTACCACTGAAGACCTAGCAGCATGAATGTATAGTGGAAGAGTAGATAATATTCATTTTAGCTTATTATTGGACATGTGATTAATTTCTACTTATTAATCTATGCAATACAATCAATGTATTGGACCAATAAAAGCTAAATATTTTAAGTAACTAGAAGAGTGCCAGTTTTACTCCAGCATCTAATGCAATACGCCAATTGAACTTCGATACAGAAAAACTGTGAGTAATAATTACAAGTTATAATAGATGCAAATATAAGAAATATACATGTTACTTGAATACATCCAAAATGCTAATTTTTTAAAAATCAAAGTAAAATCTACCAGATAATGAAAACATAGAAGATGCAATAAAACAAGCCAGGAAACAGATTGCTTACTTCAGGCCTAAGTGAGGGAAGGATAACAATTTCTTGCAGTGCCTGTTTAGCCAACTCCTGCCCAGCAATATCATCAAAATTGACAGATGGCCCACTAACAAATACAGAATAGTAATTAGTGCAACAATAGGCATCTCATTCTTCCAGAGTGCAGCTGAGTATTTCACACTCTTTGTCTCAACTGATTTTCTTTAAAAAAAAAACACACCCAAAACCTTAGTCAAGAAATTCTCATGTATATTACATTTTATATTTTTAAAAATATTTTCATTTCTTCCTATCGAAATCTTAAACAGCTAGAGAAAAAATAATATAAACATTACTTGCCCTGAAAATAATTACACTTGATATTTACTAAAAAGCATTCCCATCCCACCACCCACAAAATACTACTGGAACTTACCTGTCTACAATTTCATTGAGAATAAGATTAGCAAGGTTACTATCCACATTTTTGAAAATCTTTGTGTCTTTCTTTTTTCGTACAGCAGTTGAAGGAGTAGAAGGCTTGGTGGTTCTATTATTTTTTGGAGTAGCCTAAGAAAGCAATTATTTCAAATATATTTCAATATTATTACAAAAAAGAATTAGATATCAGCTTCAGTAATCTAGGAAGGAAATTTCCATTCAGCATCTAACTAAATCAGTTAAACAAATCTTTGACAAGGCACAAGTTAACTTTATTTTTAAAAATAAAGAAAAAAAAAGTTAATTAAATATTGCAAAAATTAACATTGACATCAAGGTATTGTCAATTCTTAGCAACCATATATATTTTCTCCATAACATACTTTTATAAATTTAGTGAAGGAAAGGAAAAACAGAGCACAAATATATAATACCATGTGGAAAGAAAAGGAACTGTTGTGGTAAAATACATAATTATTCTCTAGATAAGCAGAATTCTGTACCTCTAAACAAAAATAACTTACCATATTTTTCGGATTATAAAACACACTCCCCTCCCCCCCCAAAAAAGTGGGTGGAGATGTCTGTGTGTCTTATAGAGCGAATGTTGCCAAAGCCTCACCCACCCTCCGGCCTCCATCCTCTGGCCTCTACCTCCCAGCAATTTGCCTCCTTGCAGCAAAGAGCAAACAGCCTGGTCAGCTTCAGCACAGCCTGATTTAGCATGAGCAGCTGATTGGCGGTTGGATCGGCCACCTGGAATACTGACAATCAGCTGTTCCAGGCTGTGGGATTGGCGCCGCCCATCACCGCCTCTGTACACCCCTTTTATGGCCTCCACGTGTCCTGTTTTCTGATCCCCACCACCTGGAATGGGCCTGGAATGGGCCGAAAATGGGACACACAGAGGCGGCGATAGGCGGTGATCCCAGCAGCCTGGAACAGCTGATGGTTGGTATTCCAGGAGGCTGGTCTAACCGCCAATCAGCTGCTTGTGCTGAATCAGGCTGTGCTGAAGCTGACCAGGCTGTTTGCTCTTTGCTGCAAGGAGGCAAATTGCTGGGAGGCAGAGGTCATTTTTTTTCTTGTTTTCCTCCCCAAAAGCTAGGTGTGTTTTATAGTCCAGAACGACTTATAGTCCCAAAAATATGGTACTGTATATCCCATATTATTTATCAAAGTTTTAATTGCTTTTAAACAACTATTTTTTTAATAAATAAGAGACAATGTAATAATCCTTCCAATGCCTAACAAATCATGCTGATAAAAAGCAAAGGTAAAATCTGTACAAGAACTCTGTATTATCACTTTGAGTTGAGGGCAGTGATATTCTAAACTATGTTTTTTCTACTCTGAAAATAATAAACCCAGAAGAAAATAAGCTCAATATCACCATATCTGCTTTCTAAATCTATGGTTTAAAAATTACCAGTAAACTAAATTGGAATACTTGAATTCTTAGCCATCCTTAATAGTTCTACTATACTGAGAATAAAAATCTCTGTGTGTATGCAAACAATACAGACTTTTTGTTAATTTTAAAAATGACAAATATTTTAGCTTTTCCAACAGAAAAAAGTGTTCTAACTTTTTGATCATTTTGTTTCCTCTTTTCCATAAAGTTTTTCATGCCAATATTTTCCAGGCATCCAAGTACCCATATGATATGTGAAATCATTTCTCAACCTTATAATTAGAGCAGTTTTGCAACCCAGTTACCAACTTGTAAAATATGGGCAGAATCCAGATATTTCCAATGATAGAAGCCTCCCATCAGCAAAATGGGAAAGAATGCTATACAGGTAGTTCTCGACTTACAACAGTTCATTTAGTGATGGTTCACAGTTACAATAGCTCTGAAAAAAGTGATTTATGAGCATTTGTCACACTTATGACCGTAACAGCATCCCCATGGCTATGTGGTCAAAATTCAGATGCTTGGCAACTGGCTCATATTTATGATGGCTGCAGTGTCCCGCTTTTGCAACTTTCCAACAAGCAAAGTCAATGGGGAAACCAGATTCACTTAACAACCTGGTTACTAACTTATCAACTGCAGTGATTCACTTAACAACTGTGGCAAGAAAGATACTAAAATGAAGCAAAACTCACTTAACAAATGTCTCACTTAACAGAAATGTTGGGCTCAATTGTGGTCGTATATTGAGGACTACTTGAATACTGAATTCACTATTCCCTTCATTATTTTCTGTAAAATCATTGAAAAGCATTTTTCCACTTTGTATCAGATACCTTCTACAGATAACAAGAATGACACTAGATACAATCACAACCTCCGGGAGTAGGACGGTATAGAAATTTGATAAATAAATAAATAAATAAAATAAAAACCTTAATCAAAATTAACAGTAAAATAACATTAAGTAGTTTTTCCCCCTCTAAAATGAGTTTGGGATTACAAACTTATACAATTCCCTTATAGTAAATCACATTTTTGCTCCATTAGTTTCTATGGTCTATTCTAGTCTCTACCAGCCTTTCCTAGTAATATAAATAACTTAGATTTTGTTGCATGCAAAACATGCTATTTATGAAATACAATTCCTTTATTTTGAATTGCAACTTTTCTATTTCCTTTTCTATTTCAATTGCAACTTTTCTACTTGCAACTGACAAATATGCAATATACTGTGCATAGAAGCTAGTGCCCTACCTTCTGAGTTGCAGCTGAAGGAACTCTAGGTGCAGAAACATTAGAAACTCCAGTATAACTAGGTGTTCTTTGGTGCCCAGAAAATCCTCCAGATCCAGTCTTTGCCATAGATTTTGAACGAGGAAGTGAATTACTACTGTGAGACAGTGGATCCTTCTTTTTTGGAACAGTTCCATTTTCTACAAAGAAAAAGAACAAATTTGTTACTACAAAAATATTCAAATCAACTAATTGCACATGTACTTACTTTTTAAATTGTTACTATCTATTAATTCAGTTGATTTATAAGGCTGATTTCACAAAACAACTCTGAGCAATAACATAGGGTTAAATCTCACAATACATAATGAATAATATAAAAACACATAATTTAATGTACTTATTTATAGCCATTACCCATAAGTGGGTAAACACATCATCATTGTGGACAGACCACCTCATGATTTATTGTAATAATGTTGCTTTCTGTTTGCACTGATATTTTGTAAACTTTATTGAGTAGGTTGCTTTGTTGGAGAATTTTAGAACTAAAGCTATTATCATTTCCTGCAAGCACAGCAAACATATCTAAACACTGGGCTACACTATGTATACTAAAAATGTCCAAAACTTAACAATTCTTATTGTTTTTTTTTTAAACTTCTTAGACTATTTATAGAAGCAGTTTATACCAGGTAGCATACAACTATTTTTGTAGTATTCAAGCAATATAAATTTAGAATGAAACACAGTACAGGTTGTCTTCGCTTAACAACAACAATTGGGACGACCAACTCCATTGCTAAGCAAGACATCACATAGCTTTGACTTGCGATTTCTCCATTGACTGCTTGTCAGAAGCCAGTTGTAGAGCATGCAAATAGTGATCACGTGATGTGATATGCTGCAACAGTCATAAACAACCACCAGCTGTGGAGCACCAAATCTCAATCATGGGATGTTGCAAGTTCAAGGACCAGTCATAAAGTTATTTTTTTCTGGTCGCTAAACAGAGCAATAATAAAATGAGGACTACCTATAATCAAACATTCAATGGAAGAAGGTAATATACATATGATGGACTTTTCTTTACCTAATGACACTAATGTCACTAATCTAGATTACTTTATAATGTCACTAATCTTGATTACTTTATAAAGGTTATCAACAACAAAGCAAGCAGTTAAAATATTTCTGAATATATCTTAGAAAGTTAGAGTCACTCTTCACTTAACATTACGCATTTATTTATCAAATTTATATGGTCACCCAACTCAGAGTTGTACACTCTAGATGGTGCACAACTGTCAATAAAATATATACTGAAAATAAATATTTAAAAACAGAAAAATCAGCTTTAAAATGAGATAATTAAAACTAAAAATACATGCAAAATATGTAGCACCTCTCAAATAATTTCAGAATGATTCATAAAGGATTAAAACGTATCAAACAAATCAAGCAACAATAAAGTTGTCAACATTATTTGCTTTGATATCTAAAAGACAGCAGCAGAGACACCATGTAAAATGCTTAGGAATAAGACTCAATTGGGTAGATGCGAGAGCCTCAAGACCATCAAAGAAGTTTATATTAATGTCTTTAGAACTTATAGAAAAACTAGGACTCAGGATAGCTGGTTCTAAACAAGAGTTTAAATTCTGTTTGAAAACAGTGAAAAGACAAAGTACTACAGTAATTAGATTTCCAGACAAGCTTCAACAGACAGTGCCGGAATGAATAAATAAAACTTGTTGTAAGTTGCTCACTTGTTGTAAACCACTTAGTTGCCTTGAATCGCAATATATGCAACAAATAAATTTAATAAATAAATAAAACCACGCAATAATCTATTTTAAGATTACACAGAAACTAGCCCATCTGTCTCAACCAGTGAAAATATTACACACATTATGAACAACAGAATTTAGGTTGGGAAGGGGGAATGAACTTGCATTGAACTTAGATACAAATGTATGTTAAATAAAAATATTACAGTAATATTAACTGGACTAATGTACCATCAACTGGCATTCTAGCAAGAATGAACAGTTTGATTTCTGCTTCACGAGGCAACCGTTTCCTATTTGTGCTCCTGATAAGATCTTCAGTCTCCTGGTCTTTGTAGAAGTCCAATGTTGATTCTAAATAATATTTTAGTATTTACAGTGCCTCACCTGATCCAAGTATAAAAATGAGATAGAATGTTTGCCTGTTTCTTGTGTACATATCTCTTCAGTACTATCTATATGATCATAATATTCAACTCCCAATTTCTGAATGATTTTATTATGTTAAAAGCACAGCTAATGTGGATTTCAAATAAATTTGCAATTCAAGATCTGATAAACATACTATGTTTTTCAAAGTGGATAGAAAGTAATGATTAGCTGATCAGAATTGCAAACTGATTTTGTTTTAGGGACGTGGGTCAAATATTTTACTTTGATACAGTAAATCCACAAAAACATCTAACTATTGGATAGTTGATTATCTGAAGGAAAATTAAAAAGAAGAACAGAATAGGAAAAGATACAAAACCTTACTATTTTTGGATATGAAATTTATTAGAACAGAAATTGCTTTCCATGCAACCTAGTCTATATGATTATTTGCTTTAAAAAGTATCAATAAAAGTAGTTGCAATTGCAAGCAGTAATCAGTTTTTTCTTCTACAATATAGTGATATGCTGATTCCCATTATGCTGTTTCATATATAGGATTAGTGTCAGTACATCCCAAAGGATGAAGGCTATTGCTGAGCACATTGTAAGCCGCCCTGAGTCTTCGGAGAAGGGCGGCATATAAATCAAATTAAAAAAAAAAAATGGATGAAGTCACACTGTTGCCCTACAAATATAACTATCAAAATATAACTATCTTGCACAAAGCCATGTATGGATATTTGACAATTCTAGTTACCGAATGAAGAAAAATTCCAACTGTGTAAGGTAGTCCTCAACTTATGACCATAATTGAGCTCCAAATTTCTGTTGCTGAGCAAGACAGTTGTTGAGTGAGTTTTACCCCAGTTTATGAGTTTTTTCTTGCCCCAACTGTTAAGTGAATCATTATGGTTATTAAGTTAATAATAAGGCTGTTAAGTGAATCTGGCTTCCCCATTGACTTTGCTTGTCAGAAGGTTGCAAAAGGGGATCATGTGACTCCAAGACACTGCAACAGTCATAAATATGAACCAGTTGCCAAGCATCTGAATTTTGATCATGTAACCATGTGGATGTTGCAATAGTTGGAAGTGTGAAAAAAGTCACATTTTTCACTGCCATTGTAACTTCAAACAGTTATTAAATGAAGGGTTGTAAGTTGAGAATTACCTGTATTCATATACCAATACAAATTGTTTCAAGCAAAGCACCACATCACACTAAATCAGTTAGTGAGAGTATACTTTTAGAGAGAAATAATTGCCAAAAATGTATTTATAGAGCAAAAAAAATCAGTAAGGAAAGTATTAATACATTTGATACTATTTGGAGTTATTTCAGAAGCATGTCTTATAAAGAATAAAAATGACTGAAGGTACAAGCTACAAACCTCATAAAAAAAACCTAAGTAAGAAATTTCCAAAGAAGCTTAACCAGAAAAACACACTACCTAAAATTTTTCTCTTAATTTCATTTGTTCTTATTTCTTAAACATGAGGAACACTGAACACCAATAATTTTCTCATAAACTTCAAGCTGATTTTCTCATTATTATATCGCATGTACACACACTGACAAAAAAAGCCAGGAAAAAAATATCCTTCAATAGGAGATATACGCAAACATGTATTCTCTGCTTTTACTTTTATAAAAAATAGTAATCAACATAATAGAGAGGTCAATTTTTAAAAAATGAAATCTTTTTTTTCCTAGCACTGCATTTTATAAGGGTCCTAAATAGACTTTTTCCAAAATTCCAAACTTTATGTCAAAATACTAAACTTTAAAACTAATGCCTTTTCAAGACATAAGAAATGTTAAAAAATAAGGAAAGCAGTTTGGTGAAGACAACATTAATTCAGCATAGATTAATAAGAAACTATAAAAGAGAAAACATTTTAAAAATATATTAGGAGCAGGGTATTTATTGCTGCATATTTTGTTTTGATAAGGTAGATACTGAGAGACATCCCCCTAATTAATTAGGTGCTGGGAAAACCAAACCCACCTGACTGGAGATGTCCATTGCGGCATACCAGGTTAGTATTGTCACTACGGACTTCCATTTGCAGCTTGGGAATTTGCTTAACTGCCTGCATCTTCTCTATGCAACAGAACAGAGGAGGGAAAAGGACAAATAAAAGACAAAAAATGAACCAATGAAAGTTACGTATACTGGTAATACCAAAATGATTTTGCCTTTAGTTGGCTTGATAAGGATTAAAGTTAAAAAGCTTATATTTAATGTTTACAATGTTATGAAGTCACATCTGATTAATAAAATACAACTTATGTAAAACTGTGAACTGCAGTTAATAACTGCATTATTCAGAAATAGCAAATAGTGGGATACTTTAAAATGAATGTGCAAATAATTATGATGATTTCTTCTACCTATAATCTAAGAAAATCTACAATTTGTTGGTTCAATTTGCAATCATATTTCATACTAATTTTTTAACAAGTATTTATTTATAATAAGCATTGCATTTTAAGCAGCTAAATATATTTGTTATCTACAGGTTATTTCAAGTTGCTATATAATTCTATAAATTATAGAAGTGCCCACAAGAGCCCTCCTTTCTGATCAAGTGAACTTTCCTAATTATTAAGTAATTGTTACATAATTAAAATAAAATTACTACTTTTCTAGCAATAAGGTTTAGCATTGCATTATAATTATCAGAAATAAATTAGACAGATACAGCTCATAGGTGATCATTAAAAAATTCTAAAACTTCCACGTCTAGTTTTAGAATAAGTTATCACCCTTTGAAATGAACAGCTTAGTAGATATCATCCTGAATTTGACTGTCAGCAGTTTACAACAACATTTAGATTCACAAATAATCTATTTGTAAAATCATGGTCCTTTAGAAAGCAGATCAATACTCATCTCTTTTTTGTACTTCAAAAATAAAACCAGCCATTAAAAAAAACAATAGCTTTTTAATACACATTAAGCTAAAAAAATGGTATTCCGTAATAACTACTTTGTTACTATCACAGAACAATCTAGATTCCTTTTTGATACTATCATGTATTTTCATGTAAAAAAGTACTGCAATATAGCTTTAACTAAAAGAGGCATCACAGAAAATACAAATTCAATTAATACATGCATTTTTTGGAAAAAGATTCTTACTCAGTCCTTCCTAAAATCTTAAATAAGATGGCCAAAGTTTTAAAAAACTAAAGATTGTGCTACCTATCTCATATTTCTTTTCTATGTTTCTTTCTTGTATACTGTTACCCAACAGTCCTTAGTCAAAAAGATGACCCTCAGCTGGTCATATCAACACATTGTAAAGACATATGTATACAGAATATTTATTCCATATCATCTACACCAGTGGTTCTCAACCTTCCTAATGCTGCAACCCTTTAATACAGTTCCTCATGTTGTGGTGACCCCCAACCATAAAATTATTCCTAAAACCATTGAAAATATGTGTTTTCCGATGGTCTTAGGCGACCCCTGTGAAAGGGTCGTTCGACCCCCAAAGGGGTTGCGACCCACAGGTTGAGAACCACTGATCTACACCAACCTTTCTCAACTCGGAATCAGCAAGAGGTCTCTAAGGTTCTATAAGACATTATGATTGGGGGGAAAAACTTTTTTTAAACGAATGCAATGCTAGCACTCATAATGATGGGGATTTTTACACATCACAACTCAGCTCCTGGCCAACACTTTGCTGTTGTTATAAATGTTGACAAGTGTGGGTTGCATAGGTTACAAATGAATTGTATTGGGAAGTTTTCATATTTTTTTGTGAAAAATAATTGTTTAATTTTATGCAGGGATTCACTAAGATCTGAAAATTATTTCAAAGGTTTCTCCAGAGTAAAAAGTTTGAGAAAGGCTGATCTAGGACATAATTCCTTAAGCCTGCTTAACCATTTCTAAAGACTGTATGAAAATTAATCTTTATACTTCCTTTATTTCATGTTGAGGGTAAACACTATATATATATATCTATATATATATCAGTATATGTAATATATGTAATATATATAATATATGTATATATTCATCAGTAATGAAAAAGTTTCACTGCCTTCATGTTCATTTCCAAACATAAGTCACAGCACTGATGTTTGCTTGCACATAGAATCTTGACCTCCCACAAGAATTACTGATAACACAGCTGAATGGATATGGTGACTGGGCATACTGCCAATTATATACTATGGTTAAGAATATCAATGGCAAAATCATTTCAAGCTACTTTCATTTCTAAGTGCTTTCTTCCCTTTACAAATCCAAATTGTTTATTAAAGAACTGGGAGATCAACGAAAAAGACAGGATAACAGCTGAAAATAAATGAAGGAATTTAGGCCACAGATCAGTCCTTTCTGAAGTTTGGTTTGCAGTTTATCATCATGGTAGAAAAATATTTATTCCTCTACCCCATTATATTTACACAGAGCAGAAAAGCATTGCATTTCTCAGTGTGTGGCATCTCCTGTGAAGGGAGCCAGAACATATTACTCTCTGTAGTTAAAACTGAGAAGACCCACTTGAACTGAACATCAATGCTGAGGCAGGTCTTAGAGATATAATCCCCACAATTGCTTGTATTGCTTCGGCTTGCACATCACAAGGATGCAAATGATGTATGGCAATATAAAAACTAGGAACTATCTACTCAACTGGCCTCAGGTTAAGAACAATTATCAGTCCCTCTTTGTAAGTGATAGAGCTTAAGTCTCTCATCTTAAAGGAATTAATAAGACCACTATTGAAAACACTCTTTTAACCTGGAGAGATCTGTGCAAATATTGAATAATCTGAAATATTCAGTTTTTAGAAAAATGATTGATCAGCTTGTAATTTCCTCATTCAGATATATCTGGATGATTCTAATTATTTGGATCCATGTCAATTGGCTTTAAATGAGAATATAACATGAAACTACTTTGATGATGACCTTGTCTACAAACTGAATGATGCAGCCATCCCTCAATGGCTTTCAGACTATTTAACATAGTGTTCTTCTACATTAGGGCTGTCAAACTCACGGCCTGTGGACCAGATGTGTCACATGCTAGGCCCACCCTCGGCCAGTTTCGCAAAGGGGAAAAAAGTCAGTGATGCCACCGTGACAACGTGAGTTTGACACCCATTCTACATCATCTGACTGATGTGGGCCTTGCAATACTGTTTTGCAGGTTCCAGTCCTTCCTTACCGGCCTAGTTCAAAAGGTGGTGTTGGATCACTATCTTCAACATCTATATCATTAATACTAGAGCCCTACATGGTTGTATCCTGTCCCCCAACCTGTTCAGTATCATCCTGGAGAGCTTCAGAGTAAGATATCATAAATATTACTTGGCGCTCCCTATCATCCAACTCCAAGAAAGCAATTGAATTTTGGAAAATTACTTGAATTTGATAACGGGTTGAATAGCTAAAATTAAATCTAATAAGAAAGGGTTTCAATTGTAAACAGAAGTGAACTGTGGGATTAATGGTCAATCTTGCTAGAAGGCATTAATTGTCTTAAAGCAGACCAATAGTCTGGAAATACTATTTTATCTTCACATTCATACGTAGAGGGGGCATGCATAAGTGAAATGGCGTGCCTATCGTCCCTGTCATTGTATTTTTATTCTTGTATTCTTGTTCTCGTTGTTTGCCAAATTCCAATAAATAAATAAATACAGACATACATACATACATATATACCTAAATAAGTGACAAGGATACTTGAAGGGCACCCAGAAGCTTCAGCTGGTACAGAATGTGGCTGCATTTGCAACCTTGGATTCCCCAAGGATGGTGCATATAATACCACTGCTGTGTGAGCTGCACTGAGTACCAATTTGCTTCTGGATCCAATTCAAGATGTTGGTTATGACCTTTAAAACCCTACATAGCATTGGTCCAGATTACTGCAGAACCATTTTCATCCCATTACGCTGGCTTGTCCCACTTGGTCAGGCAGGGAAAATATGCTGTGGATCCATCAGTTAAAGAATGTTGACTGGCAGGGTCCAGGAAGAGATCCTTCTCTGCCTTTGGCCCATCCTTTGGAACATCCTCCCATTAGAGGAAAGGCAGACCACCACTTCCTTTTTAAAAAATGTTTAAAGACCTGGCTCTGTCAATTCAAAATGATGGGGTACATTTTTGCCTCTTTATCTTATTAGAAACATGTTATATGAGATAGTCTTTTTATAGCTGTACCAGCAAAATCAAATAAAACAGTGTCCTATAGCATCTTTAAAATGTAGCTAAATTTCTATCCTTTGCCATGGCCTGCACTTTAGATTGCTCCAGGCCTCCTGAAAAGAAAAACAGCAATTGGAAGCCTTTCAGGAAAACACTAACATTATACCAGTATTTTATAAGCCCTGTGGGAGAAAAAACTACTATTATCAAAGCTGCAGGTATAGGAAAGGGTAAGGAATCAACAAAGGTACAATTCCACATCATAGGATTGTAGTTTACATTTGACACCTCATATTTAGCAAGTTATTTTGATGCAATATATGTTGCAGCTGCATAATGTTATTCTTGTTAAAAGTTTCTGTTTGTCATTGGCTATGAAATATGTATTTTTATAAATTCCAATCTCATAATTTTTCTGGTCACAGTCAATGACATTGAGAGATGCAGTCTTAAGCAAACCACAGACACAGAAACATACAAAATCTTCTTGGTACCATTCCTCCAAACTTAAAATGTTCTGCTCCTGATTTTGTTTACTGTACTCTAAGGATTCCCAATCTTTTTAGCCTCTGAAGTACATTTGAAATTTGAGACACTGCTGAGTCCCACAACAAAATGGTGGCTATGGAAGCCTCCTAATACAAAATGGCAACTAGATCTACCAGACTAATTACAAAAGAAATGTCCAAAAAAAATAATTGGATAATCATGAGAAACACATGGAGAATGCACTACAACTGTTTGGAAGAACAACAAACTGGGAAACCTAAGGACTGTGGTTTTTTTAATCTATATTTCTTAGTTAACACTGGCTTCCTAAAACAATCAACATAACTAAAGAGATAGTAAATGAGATTTACAAAATCATAAACCATCTGATTTAGGAGCTTCATCTTTTCTAGGTAGAAATTCTATGTCCTTGTTTCTCCTAATAAATAAGTAAAGCCATACATGCTATCCCAGCTTCAGCCCTATGAGACATAAACAGCATTTTCAAGAAAGCCAGCAGTGGAATAAATTAATTGAAATACTGCTATCCCTAGAAGTCCAAAGATAATTGTGATGACTGAAAATAACACGTATGATGTGATGATACAAATCCTACCATTATTTGCATCCTAACTTTTGATCTAAGTAGGTAATTTGCAGAGCATGTCTCATGAGATCACATTACATGTTTCATTCCTGGCCCCTCCAGACATTTTTGCTGCTATCTAGTTTTATTTTGCTTCAATCTATAAATGCTTTGATTTAAAAGATTTCAATTTATGATAATCTGTCACTGAATTCATTAGGTATTTTGTCAAGGGTCTGTACTCTTCAACTGACTTCAAGATTATTTTGTTCAACAATTTACCACTTTTCTTCAAAGTAATCTGCAGTTAAAACCTATTTAACTTAAATTTTAGCAACATGAATTTTCTATGAATTTTCTTTCTAAGATGCACTTTATATTATCTTCCATCACTGCTGATTCTGCACCAATTGCTTTGCCATTTCAAAGAGCAACTTATGTTCATGCTGCATTTCACAAAGTTTTCGCAAAAAAACACCACTCACTAGTTCTTCAGCTTCCCCTTTAAAATATCAGGAAACCAAACTATGACAATATACTTGCATCTCTAAACAAGTACATTGATGCAAAATGAAGTCTATTTGTGAAACACGTTTCAAACTTTTTTAAAAAATTAGTTTTAAATCATTTTTCTCTCAATACATCTTAAACATATATACTACCAGTTCTACAATTTTCTAAAGTAACAACATTAAGTAGTACCTAACAGCTGCAAACGGTCCTTGGCCATTGCCAAATTTGTCATCATTTTAGACTGGAGGCGACGAGCTCGATCATAATGGTCTCCTTAAAGAGAAAGTTAAACATTCAGCAGAGGTATAATACCAATATCTATCTTATACTCCATCAAAAGTGAGTAATTAATACAAATGGTAACTAATAAAATAATATAACACTATATCACTTGGAACAATGAAACTAGAAGTAACAGGTTTGGCAAGAAACCTCTAGGATGCTACTACAATTATACAGGGTTACAAACTACAGACTCCTAAGAATAGCTGCAGATATGAGAAATAAATATATATAAAATATATATTTTCTGTTCCAAAATACTCATATGGAAATATTATGAGTTTGAGAATTCCTTTTGAAAAGTGATGCATTATGATTACAGATTTCTAAATCTATGCCAATATTCTGACAGAGAAAAGTACTATTGTCCTAATAAAGACTATTAATTTCAGAGAGTAAATGATTATTTTTAAGCATCTTTAATAAAAATTAAAAGTACTTCAAGGTGTTTATTTGACTGGATCTTAGCCTTGAGTCTTAAATTATCAAAGTTAATTATAATATGTTAACTCACATTATAATTTTTATGCAATACATTAACTGTTAAATTAAGTATACATTTGTTGCTACCTTAATACAACAAACTTGATACATAATTCTTTTATGTTACCCCATTTTCTCAGCTAAAACTATCATCAGAAAAACTCACTAAAGCTATAATAACTAAGCCAAAAAATACAAATATAGACTATATGTTCAAAATGTTGATTCAGCTGAACAAGTAGCTGCTACATACTAAACTTACTGTTACAAATTTGGCATGAGCTATAACTTTAGAGCAGGGGTGTCAAACTTTATTTCATTGAGGGCCGCATCAGGGTTGTGTTTAATCTCAGGGGGGTGGGATGGGGATGGTCAGGGTGAGTGTGGCCAGCTTGATGTCGCTCATGTTGGGGGCGCCTTTGGTAACCTAAGTGGTCTGCCAGCGAAAATGGGCTGCCGAGCTCCGTTTCCGGCTGCGACGGCCTCCTGCAACCCTGTCAGCAAAAACAGAACCCAGAAGGACCGCATGAGACCCTCCCAAGCTCTGTTTTCCCTGGCAGAGGCACTGCAGGCTGGTCCTTCGCTGTTTCCAGGGCAGCCCCGTGGGCCAGATCTAAACATCCTGCGGGCTGGATCCAGCCCCCAGGCCTTGAGTTTCACACCCCTGCTTTAGAGGATTCCTATTATTCTTGTTTCTATGACTTCTCCATACAATCCCTTTCAAAAAGATAAAAGACAAAAAACATGATATGAACAGTGGTAAAGGACTCAGGACTTCAATAATTATTATATAATTATATCCAATGATCAATATCCAATTATCAATTTCAATATATCTAACAGCCAATCTAATGTATCTAAACAGATTACCTAATAACAGGCTGAAATCATTAAAAAAAATTTTAAACACTAAAAAGCAAAACAAAAACAATAATAGAATGCAGTGCAATCAATCAGTTATGCAGAATAACTATAAAATGTATCATACACTATTGCAGGATAATACATATAATAAAAAATAAAACTGAATACAAACTGTAGAAATTCTGGTATTAAAAAAAAGAAGGTTTTGCTAGGCAGCAAAGTAGAGGAACCAGACATAACTCCTTGGGAAGTGCTTCTACAACTCTACAAGAGAAGTCTCTGCCTTATTTCATCTATGAGAGTAACACAGAAAAACGATCAATCAGTCTGAAAGCAACATGAGTGAGAAAGTTATTTTCCCAAATTTTTCAGAGTTTAAGGATCAAACCTCAAAAATTTGAATTGGATCTAGAAACAATACGACAGGCAGTAGAGTGGATGAAGGCATGAAGTGCTGATATTTATGTATTTACTTATAGAACCACATACAGTTAACTATATCATATACTGCAATGATTCTAGGTGACTCCCAACAATCCCCAAAAAGCCAAAAACAAAAGTACCAGATTAAACAGCCTCCTAACTCAACCCTCATCCTAGCTCAAAGCTTGGGAGAAGAGCCAAATCTTCACAGCTCTCCAAATGGCTAAAAGGATAGGCATCCCTTGGATCTCAAGAGGGAGGCTGGGCTGAGGCAGCCACCAAGAAGGCATACCTCATCCAAGATCCCATCATGTGGCAACTTTTAAGGGAGTGGAGTGAACAAGGAGATATCTCTGGGAGAGGTAGTTCTATAAGGAGCCTGGCTTTCTGCCAGCACTTTGAATTGCAACCAGAAAGCAAATAGGACCCAGTGCAGCTCATGCAGCAGGGTTGTTAATCAGAAAAACTGGAGGGCAGACCAAACTGCAGTGCCATTGCATTCTGAAACAGTTGCAGCTTCCAGATGGTCTTCAGAGTATCTTCTCTGTCCTTAATGATAAACGATAATCTGTCCATTCCTGATATTCCATTATTTTCTGAATTAACCTCTCATCTGACGGGGTCTCCTCACTCTTCTATTGTTGCGCAAATACAATCCTAGCTGCAGTCAGTACATGTAAAATCAAATATGTAGTCTTTTTGTCATACAAAAATGTCTCTGGTCTCAGTTCAATATGCTTCTTTGTCATTTTTTCCAACCAGGTATGTATTTTCGACCAGTATGTTTTAGTTTGGGGACACGTCCACCACATGTGGTAGTATGAGCCCGGTGTTTGGTTACATTTCCAACATTTTGCTGATCTGTCTTTATACATTTTAGCCAACCTTGCCGGTGCAAAGTGCCATCTGTAACACAGATTTTCGTTCCTTTCTGTCTTTTAGCAGGAGCCAAGAGTTAAAGATGATCTTCAAATTGTGCACCAAATTTGTCTGGGGGAGTGTTACCCATTCCAGAATCTCAGATGTCAACTCTCCTGATTCTAAGGGGTTAAAAATTCACAAGCACTCCATTTTGCTAGGATTGAGTCACAGCTGGTTTGTCCACATCCTGGCCCTCACAGCCTCCAGGCATTGAGCCAGCATCCAAAGGGCATAACTTGTCCAGCATTGGCTAATGGAGGTGGCTAAAGAAGTAGATAACACCCCATCTCCTTCCTGTATGCACTTTGTTCCCTGCCTCTTCAGCCTGGTTAGTTTTATTTTAATTGGATTTTAAATTTATTATCCTTATTGTTTTAATGATTTACAGTGCATTTTAATTAAACGTCTGTAAACCCTCTTGTATGGGTGATATACAAGTTTAATAAATACATTGGGAAAAGATATGCAATTGGGTAACATCAGCATGCTGGTAATACCAAAGCTCCTGCTGGCAGATGACCTCTTGCAGTGGCTTTATAGAGGTATTAAATATGAGAGAGAACCAAGTCCTGAGGTACCTCATATAAGATGGGACTATAGCTGGACCTCTTCACCCTGCAAACACTGCCTGGTACTTGTCATGGCAAAAGGAGACCCACTACAAAACAAGTCATCCACTAGTGTCACCAATGCTGCCTCAGTACTATAGGCCAGCCTGAACCCTGACTGAAAAGCTATGATATGATATATGATATGATATATATGATATGATATGATATGATATGATATGATATGATATGATATGATATTAACCAATTCCAGTTATCAACTCTTCAATTTTAGTTTGGAACAAGTTTCTTGTTTTTAAAATTATAAGCATCATAGGAATCCAGTTTGCCAAATATATTTGAATTTTTATGATTATACACATTATGGCAATAACCAGGAAGTCTTCTAATGGTAGTTGGCTCTGCCAAACCTTACAGTAGTCCTCAGTTAATGACCGCTCATTCAGCAACCATTTGAATTAGAACAGTGCTAAACAAGTGGTACTTACATCCGATCCTTGAAATTCCATCTGTCCCTGGACATCCATGGACACGATTCAGGAGCTTGGCAACCGGATGTTACTTAAAACAGTTGCAATGTCTGGCAGTCACTTGGTCATTATTTGCAACCTTCCTTGCTGGCTTCTCACAAGCAAAGTCAATGGAGAAGCTGGCAGGGAAGGTTGCATGTGCTCATGTTCTCTTTTCTCCTGAGGAGCTTGGCTAGGAAACTCATACTGCATTGCATGGAACACCCCCCTATTCACACTCTGTAGTGTGCACCTGCCAGCCCAGTTACACTTGTACCAGGCTACATCATTGTATTCACACCACAACAGCTACCTGCACATTCTCTTATACTCTAGAGCACCCACCTACCAAGCTGTACTTGTAAAACAGCAGCTACCCACCCACCCCCACCTGGTTATACCCCTCATCCAACCACAAGCAGTATGGGATGTAAGACTTCCTGCCATCTTCCTCATTGACTTTGCTTATTGGAAGCTGGCAGGAAGTGACAAGCTGTGGTCACATGCGGTCCTTAACAATCTGTGATCCTTGCTTAATGATAAGCAACCAAGATTGCTGGAATTGCCAAAGCTAAGTGATGCAGTCAGCGTTATTGCTTAGCAATGGAAATTCTGATTCCAATTGCCATGGTTAAGTGAGGACAAGTTATACATAGTACCAAATACAACTTAATGGAATTCCTAAAGACTAAGGTTACCTGATAATTAAATCAGTGATGGGAAAGTCATGTTTCTTCAAATGATGCTGGATTACAATTGTAATCATTTCTAAGCATTGGTTATTATAGTTAGTATTAAAGGGAGTTATAGTCCAACATATTGGTGGTCAAAAGTTTCATATGTGTGTGTGTGTGTGTGTGTGTGTGTGTGTGTGTGTATGTATGTGTATATATATATATATATATATATATATATATATATATATATATATATGTATTTGTATATATGTATTTGTATATATGTATTTGTATATATATGTATATATGTATGTATGTATGTATGTATGTATAAAATTAAATAGTACATCATTTTTGAAAAAAAATAAATCCTATGGATTTTACAAATTTCACAAATTTTTTCTTCCAAACAGTCTATTCAGAATTTTCAAACCATCTTCTTCTTCATATAACACTAAAATGAACTTACCTTGACCAATAACTAATATAGCTATTCCTTTCTCGAGTTCTTCGATTCCCTTTCTATACCATTCAACAGCTTGTTCCTTTTGTCCTGCTGAAAAAAGTGAGTTCTATTATTTTATTGTGAAAGAACATTAGACACTACATAAATTATAAGTATCTGTACTACAATAGCCAAAATTTGAAAGAAAATATAAACACTATTCCAAGTAGTTCTTAAACAAAGACTGAGAAACTTAAGTAACTTTCTCTTATTAAAACAAAGATATGGATAAAAAACAATAATACTTTAAGAGTAAATTTGATCTTCCTGTAGTTTGCCAATAAAAGGTAAATGCTAATTTTACAAACAAGATCTGTTCAATTCACAGCATTTTAGTAGACAATTACATCTAGGGTAAATTTCTGACCTCACTATAGGCATGGGTCTGAAGTCCATCTATACACTCCAGAAAGCTTGGATAATGGTGAATTGAGATTTGACAAAACCATGAGAAATCCAGAAAGGAACAAGACAAGAATGTCCTTTATCACTTTTATTATTAATTCTAGTGTTGAAACTGTTAAGTAGAGATATTAAACAAGATAACAGAGCAAAAGGACTACAAATTAAAGTGCATAATTACAAACTATGTGGATTTGCTGATGATTTGGTATTAATTCTGCAAGACCTGCTAGACAACATTGAATATGTTATGAGGAAGATCAAAATGTTTGGAGAAATGACAGGTTTAAACATTCACAACATTTTAGTACACAATTACATCTAAGGTAAATTGTTCTGTACCAAACCGTACTATAGGCATGGAATTTAACTGAAACACATTAAACTTGTTATTTTTTAAAACAAGTAAATAATGGTAGCATAAGACTAGAATTACATCAGAATCAGTGAAAGGCAATGTAATCTAAATACAACACAAGCTAAAAAGTATACAGCTGACAAAGTCAGCACTACATCACTGCCATCATGGAAGTCTACTCAGTTGGACTTTTGTTCTATTCAATTTTCTACCAACTCTCTTTTAGGAAGAATCTCTCAAGAGACAGGAAGAAACAGATAATGATGGCATCTACCACAGAAATATCTTGAAATGGATTCCCTTCTTTATTCTCATTACCATCAGCTGACCTTTAGAAGTGATTTTATGCTTGCTTTTTTAAAAAGAGAAATACTTTATCATTATAAATTGCTTATAAATTGTAATTCACTTAGGAAGATTACCCTGTGACAGTATATAAGTAACTGAAATAAATTATTACATATTTTATGCAATAGGTTTTTTAATTGTTACTTATTTTAATTCATGGTACCATAACATAAAATACATGTGAATAATAAACCATGAATGGTTAAATCAAGCACATGTAAGAAGGTATAAAAATTACAGTGAAAAGCTATTGATCCTTATCCTAAGTAGTTTTAATATTTCAGGACTTACCGTATTTTTCGAACTATAAGATGCACCTTAGTTTTTGGGGCGGAAAATAAGAAAAAAGCTGATTGGCGGGTGGTCTCCCAGAATACCCCCAATCAGCTGTTCCCAGAGGTGAACTTTAGCAATAGGTTCGTTGGTTGTGAGCTCTGCGCCTTGCTTTTTTTTCAGCCTCTGAAACCTCCCTTTAAGAGGCTTTTTTCAGCTTCTGAGGCTTTTTTCCCAGCCTCTGAAACTTCCCTTTAAGAGGCTTTTTTCAGCTTCTGAAACCTCCGTTTCAGAGGCTGGGCGGGGCTTTATTCGGTGTATAAGACACACCCAAATTTTCACCCTCTTTTAGGGAGGGGGAAGTGTGCCTTATACTCCGAAAAATATTGTTCATGGCTAAATTTATATAAGTCAGCCTGAGTTAATTCAGTCACAAATCTAGGCCTAGGTAGTAGATGCAAAATTAATTTATGTATCTCTTTAAAGCACTTAAATGGCTAAGTTTGGTCCTAAGCTAGTTCTAAGCTTAAGCAGTATCTCATATTCTAACTTAAGAAATAAGTAGTGCCTGACTTCTAAAAATATTTCAAGACTCAGAGAATGTTAAAAATATTCTAACAAATAAAGTGCAAACTTAAAAATAAAAAGTCATTTGAGTCCAGCAAAGAAGAAAGGTTGAAGACAAAACATCTAGGGCAAAACATTCATTGATGCACAGATTTGGTTCCAATTACACCTGGTGCCTACAGTGTTACTGATACTATCTGTCATTTATTCAAACTATTAATCCCATGAAATCACTAACATATTAACAGAGTTGGAAGGGACCTTATAGATCATCTAGTCCAACCTCCCACTCAAGCAGGAGACCCTACACCATTTCTGACAAATGGTAGTCCAATCTTTTCTTGAAAGTCTCAAGTAATGAAGCTCCCACAACTTCCGAAGGCAAGCTGTTCCATTGGTTGATTGTTCTCACTGTCAGAAAGTTCCTCCTCATTTCTAGGTTGAATCTCTCCTTGGTCAGTTTCCATCCATTATTCCTTTTCTGGCCCTCAGGTGCTTTGGAAAACAGCTTGACCCCCTCCTCCCTATGGCAGCCCAAGTATTGGAAGACAGCTATCATGTCTCCCCTGGTCCTTCTCTTCACTAGACTAGCCATCCCAGTTCCTGCAACCATTCTTCGTGTTTTAGCCTCCAGTCCCCTAATCATCCTGGTTGCTCTCCTCAGCACTTTTTCTAGAATCTCAACATCTTTTTTATAGTGTAGTGACCAAACTGGATGCAGTACTCTAGGTGTGGTCTTACTAGGGCTTTATAGAATGGTATTAGTACCTCACTTGATCTTGATTGTAACCCTCTATTAATGCAATTTAGGATTGCATTGGCTTTTTTAGCTGCCGCTGCACACTTCTGGCTCATATTTACCTGGTTGTCCGCTAAGACTCCAAGAGCCCTCTCACAGTCACTGCTATTAAGCCTGGTTTCCCCCAGTTTATGTGTGTACTTTTGATTTTTCTTACCTATGTATAGGACTTTACTTTTCTCTACATTGAATTTCATTTTGTTAGACAGGGTCCAGTGTTCAAGTCTGTCAAGATCCATCTGGATCTTGAGCCTATCTTCTAGGGTGTTAGCTATTCCTGCCAGCTTAATATCATCTGCAAATTTGGTGAGTTCCCCTTCTATTCCCTCATCTAAGTCATTTATGAAGATATTGAAGAGTACTGGGCCTAAGATGGAACCATGTGGCATCCCACTGCTTACTTCTCTCCATGTAGAAGTAGATTAGACCCATTAAGGACTACTCGTTGAGTACAATTTGTCAGCCAGTTGCGAATCCATCTAGTGGTGAAGCTATTTATCCCACTTTTTTCTAGTTTACGAAGAAGTAGGTTGTGGTCTACTTTGTCAAATGCCTTGCTGAAGTCTAAGTATATTATGTCCACAGTATTTCGCTGGTCTACTAATTAGACTATGTTGAAGAATGAAATACGATTGGCATGATCTGTTTTTAACAAACTGATACTGACTGCTAGTTATTATTTATGTGAGAAAGTATTATGCCATTAGATAGTATTTTAAACTCTTGAGGACATAGGTGAATATTAATCTAATAAATAAACAAATTGCTCCTATTTTTTTATGAAGGGAGAGCTTTTTTAATATTTCTCCTTCTCACAAATTAAGCCAAGACACCACTTTTACATTAATTCAAAATACTCTCACCTGTTATGTAAGACATGCTAGGCTATAATAGCAATTCAGAGCACTGTACTCTAATAATCTTCCAGAAAAACAAGGTGTAGGTGGAATTGAATCTGTAAAGTAAATACTTCCTGAATGTTTTTTCCTGTTTGAGTTGTAGGGGGAGGGGGGGGGGGGGGGAGGAGGAAACATCTCAACTTGACCCCAATACATCATAATAAATGTATTGCAGCTCTGGGTGGTATACAACATATGAAAAATACAATTAATACTGTTAAAAATGTAACAGCCCATCACTGACTATTGGGGGCGAGTCCTTGGCCCCCACAGAAAGGGCTCGCAATCTGGGAGTCCTCCTGGATATGCAGCTGTCCTTGGAGGAACATCTGACGGCTGTAACCAGGGGGACCTTTTATCAGGTTCGCCTGATTCGCCAGTTGCGGCCCTTTCTTGATCGGGATTCCCTGTGCACAGTCACTCACACCCTTGTCACCTCTCGCCTTGACTACTGCAATGCTTTCTACATGGGGCTTCCCTTGAGGGGCACCCGGAGGTTCCAGCTGGTCCAGAACGCAGCAGCGCGGGTAGTGATGGGAGCAGCATGGCGCTCCCATGTAACACCGCTCCTGCGTGAGCTGCACTGGCTCCCGGTGGTCTTCCGGGTGCACTCCAAGGTGTTGGTTATCACCTTTAAAGCGTTCCATGGCATAGGGCCTAGCTATCTTCGAGACCGCTTGCTGCTACCGACGACCTCCCAGCGACCCGTGCACTCCCACAGAGAGGGCCTCCTCAGGGTGCCATCAGACAAACAATGTAGGCTGGTGACCCCCAGGGGGAAAGCCTTCTCTGTGGGGGCATCTACCCTCTGGAATCAGTTGCCCCCAGAGATAAGGAGAATCCAAGACCTCAGTGCCTTCCGCCGTGCCCTTAAAACCCACTTTTTCCAGCAAGCCGAGCTGGCTTAGGAAGAAATTTTTTAAATTTTTTAAATGTTTAATTGGTTTGTGGTTTTTTAAATTTTTGGGCCAAATTTATATATATTTTAATTGTTTTTAATATTTGTATTTCATGTTTTTAATTCTGGCTGTGCACCGCCCTAAGTCCTCAGGGAGAAGGGCGGTATATAAATTGAAAATAAAATAAAAATAAATAAAAAATTGTAACAAAAACACATCAGTGCCTTTACAAGCACTCTAGCACCAGCTCTGAGAATAGAGGTAGATCTTAATGGTCATCAAGAGCATGGGTCACCAACCTTTCGGACCTCAGGGACCACTAATTTTAAATCCTGCAGACCACCAATATGAATTTTTAAAAAAGATAAATAGTATTTAGTGCAATATAAAAAATGCAAATAATTTTTCTGTGAACCACCAAAATTTTCTCACGGACCACCAGTGGTCCGCAGACCACCGGTTGGTGACATCTGATTAAGAGAGTTGACACTATACAGTATACCTTTCTACTTGGATCCTATTCCAGAGAACATGGCTTGTGACACAAGGCATGCTTCCTCAAGATGACATGTAATTGAGGGAACTAGACCGTGTACCCTGTCTGCCTGAATATACCAGGTAGACATAAAATATTGGAGACGGGCAGTACCATATAATTTATGTATGTTATGAAAGCTCTTAATATGTTAATGAAATCAACAATCCAGAACTTTTTCCACACAACTGCAATAAAAGTATGAAGACATTTCATACAACTTTTCAAAATATTCAATCTGATTTGGGAATCAGATGACAGATTGTTCTCATAGATTTTGTCACTGAATATAGATGAATGTGGACAAACAGCCATTTCAATAGTTGGGTGTATATGCATTAGGCAGTATTTATAATCTTAATTTATATATTACTTTTTGCTATCCTTAAATTTACATGTTTTTCTTACTTCTGTTAGCTTGTATATTACAAAAAATATTATATTAAATAAAACTTGAGTGATTTTTTCATTGCTAGCATTCAGAAACCACTCTATAGCACCTTGTCCTAAAACATATGTGGAATATGTCTATAGCTCTCAGAAGTATTTTCTTTTTCTTGACTTTAGTTCAAGAATTAAAGGGCAACTTCAGAGCTACTAGAATAAGAGAAATAAGAAAAATAAGAGAAATCTTCTGATGGGTTAGGTGTATCCTAACACCAAATTTACACTTATGTCTGTAATTGCTTTTAATCTCTTTATAACTAGCATTTATGAGGGAGACATATGCTTAGTAAAAAATCAAGCAACATTGCAAGAGTGGATCACAATTTCCCCATATACAAATAGAGATCCAAGAATGCTTGTGATTACATCCCACTAATCCCACTAAGAGCCTAGTGGCGCAGCAGACTAATAGCCTGTTATTATCATTCAGCTGCATTATCTGCAATTACTGCTAGTTCGAATCTCCCCAGGCTCAAGGTTGACTCAGCCTTCCATCCTTTCTAAGGTAGGTAAATTGAGGACCCAGTTTATGGGGGCAATAAGCTGACTTTGTATAAATATGCAAAAGTATGAAGGCTATTGCTTAACGCATTGTAAGCAGCCCTGAGTCTCCGGAGAAGGGCGGCATATAAATCAAATTTAAAAAAAAACCTAATCCATAGTTAATCATGGTTTTCTCAATTTACCATACAATAACCACAGTGGTTAAATATGAACAAGGTTAAAATATGTGTTGTAGGCCTGTATGTAGTGCAACCATAGCCAAGGACACAGTAGGAAATCATCACTGCTGTTAAGATTTAATCAAAATATTTCACCCTATGGTACTGTGTAGAATTAACTGAAGCAAATCTTCTGCTGCATACATACTATTGTTGCGGAATAGAAACAGAACAGAGCAGAAATTTTCATCAACTTCTAAAAGCACGTTTTAATTTTTTAAACAGATATTTTATTTTATTTTTTATTTTATTTTTTTTTATTTATATGCCGCCCTTCTCCGGAGACTCAGGGCGGTTTACAGTGCGTTAAGCAATAGCCTTCATTCTTTTGTATATTTATACAAAGTCAGCTTATTGCCCCCACAAACTGGGTCCTCAATTTACCTACCTTAGAAAGGATGGAAGGCTGAGTCAACCTTGAGCCTGGCGAGATTTGAACTTGCAGTAATTGCAGGCAGCTGAATGATAACAGGCTATTAGTCTGCTGCGCCACCAGGCTCCATTAAATTTTTACTCAAAAATTAAGTAAAACTGAATTTCTGCCATTAATAGAGCATTTCTACATTTATTAGCACGTGTATGTATGCAGGTTAAATATCTGGCATTTACAGTTTTTAAAATCTTAGGTAACAATGATGTGGCAGATTTTTGTTTGAAGAATTCTTGGCTTTCAAATATATTATATTGGACAATAATTAACTAATGGTCTGATTCAGTGTAAGGTAGCTGTATATATTTTCCAACAAATATCACTTGGAAAATCTCACTTTCCAAGAAGTAGGCACAACAATACAATGCTACAAGTATTATTTAACCATTATTTCTTCCATTTTGTGTGTTATGAACTACCTTGAATATATTTTACAGAAGGCAAAAATGAATAGATCTAATCAAGATAGTGATGCTGATCAAAATTAACACATCAAAGCAGTTTCATCTATTTCAATAGGAAAGATTTCTAGCAACATATCTTGCAAAATCTACACATCTGCAAAGTATAAATATTTAAGCACTTCTATCAATGGGTTTTAGTTCGGCCTCAAAACTTTCCTTTCAGCAAGCTGCTATTGACAGTTTGCAACTGACAAGACACAACTTGTACCATCCACACTCCTCCTAATATTAACATACTCCTGCTTAAGTTACTGCTGTACAGTAACCCAGCCGTATAAGGAAAATGCCATTTTGGATCATTTGTCTCCAGAACTCATCATTCTACAAGAATTATTTTTCTCTTCCATAATGGTAGCCACAGAGCCAGTTTGGTGTAGCGATTAAGGCAGCATCAGGCTATAACTAGGGAGTTGTAATCCCACTTTAGGTATGAAACTAGCTGGGTGATCTTGGGCCAGCCTCTCCGCCAGCGCTAGGTAAGGAGGAAAACGGCAAATCACTTCCAAAACTGTTTGCCAAGAAAACTGCAGAGATTTATCCAGGCAGTGCCAGGAGTTCAAAATCAACTGAAAGGCAGCCCTAAAAAAAAAAAAAAAAAAAAAACGAACCAAACCCCCCTGCTAGCCAGAAAAATAATATATCACCGTAAACATATAAGCTGTATAGTCACTACAGAAGAGACTGGGCAGAATGCATGAATAAGACGCAACCTGAACCTAGAGAACAAAGAGACTTAACCCAATACTGTAGCACAAAGTCTCTTTCAGACTCACAACAAAGCCTCCCCTCACATGGGCTCCACCCACAAGCCCTTCCTATCAACATCTTTCATGCAGAGGAACCCTTTTACTGCTGCTGTGGTTGTAACGTGGGTCTTCTCGGCCTGGGCAATTCAACCCTCGCAATTCCCGTTATACACCTGTATATAAGAGCATCTCTACTTCCCCCCCCCCGCCCCGCCGTTAAGGCTGTTAACGACGTTAAAGCGACGTTTTATCGCTGCTGGCCCTCAAAATCCCGACGCGAGCTCCATCCACGCCGAGCTCGAGGTCATCCTTCTTCAGCCCCTTCAGCTCAGCCCCCTTTCTCGCCTCGCTTTCTTAAGGCGCGAGTCGCTCACACAAGCGAAGCAGCTCTTGAGGCACAGCCATGTTAGGCGACAAGCAGGTGTGTTCGGCCCCTAATATAGCAGCCATGCCGGCTGTTGCTTCGCCACGAGCCTGAGGGGAAAACGGAGGCGGTGACGAAGCAGAAAACCGAGACGAAAGGAAGCCGAAAAAAGAAGGCTTCCCCGAACAGCCGGCGAACCTCCCAGCCTTTCCCGAGGTCTCCCCCCTCGGCCAAGCCAGCTCGTCCGCCGGCCCCGCCCGCTTCCCCCCCCCCCCCCCACCCCCATACTTAGCTTACCCGCTTCGTCTTCGTCGATGCGCAGAGCCGTAGAGATGCACTCGAAGGCGCGCTTGTGACAGGTTCGTACCGACTCGGGCGCATCGCCTGCCCGGCTGGTGCCCTTGGCGGCGGCCATCAACGCCCCGCCGCGAGAGAGGCGCTCGCACAGCCAGGCGAAGAGCAGCCCGAGCTGGAAGGCGAGGAAACGAAGCAGCGCGAAGACGGCGAAAAGCGGATACGAGAAATAGTAGAGATTCCGCTTGTGAGGAGAAGCCACCGCCGCCTGTGGGCGGTGTGGGGCGGGAGCCGGACCGGCCGCGGATGTAGGGGAGGCTCCGGCGGTCCGAGTCGGGGAGCTGGAGGCGCTTGAGCCCTTTTTCTTCCCTCTCCCTCCCGGAGAATTCATTCATCACCACCGTAGCCATAACCCGCTGCCAGGGACTGACAACAACCACCTGCGAGGGCCTGCCATAGCGGAGGCTACGCCCCTTTTTTGCTCAACCCCGCTCTCTCTCACACGCGCGGACGAGAAAGTCTACGTAGCGAGCCTTTCTGAATAAGAAACTCCGTAAGCTCCTTTCGGAGGTCTATTGTTAGTTATAGGGCGATCGACGCCGGAGCGCAAGGCTTCTTTTCACAGGAATATCGGAAGTTTGGGTTCCCTTCCACGTTAGGAAGTTCGCCCTTTGTGTGAGAGCGATGCAGTCTGGGTAACGTCGTTAAAGAACGTTTGCCTAATGGGAGTCAGAATGTTTTTCCTCGTGGTGTCTTGTCAGATGATCCTAGAAATGGGGTTGCTTTATAAGCCCCTTTTATCAGCAAGAGCTGCCTGCCTCCCGCTCGCCGTAAACTAAGGCGTGTAATATGCGTTGCACCGAACTCCATGGCCTGATTGGCATATCCCAATAAATAGTAATGCGGTTGCTTTTGGGCTTAATATTGAAAGATGAAGGATTGGGGTTTTAGTGTTATTGTGTGAGCTATGCCATTATGGTTCGGTCAGTGTATCCTTGTTTTTAAAAAGGGCGTTTGTAAATGAAAGTATAACTCCTATTTAGCCTTATCCTTAATTTTAGGCTACTTTGCCTTTTCTTTCACTTTTATGTTAACACATAGTATTCCAGATGTGGCCTAGAAAGTCCGACCCTGAGTTTGCTTGGGCTTTGCTTACTAACTTTGCAAAATGGGTTTTGAAAGCAAAAAGTGTTTAAAGAATTTTTATATAAGGTACAGAAACCAATCATACATTAAGTATATGCAATGTATATGAAACCAAGCAATCAAACAATAAAAGTACATTGATTACATGTGAGAATAGAACAATAAAAAACATTCTCGATAAATTCCACAAATGGCAAATTTATAGGTTGCATTATTTCCTTTCCCAGCTAGGTTTATATTTTCCTTAAAACTTGCAGGTGTGTTAAAGGAATAAGCTCTCTCATTTAGTTTATGAATAAGCTAGTTTCTGGGCTATTTTTGCAGATTAAAAAAAATTAAATGGCTTTAGCTAAAAAATTTGATTTCAAAAAGAGGCTTGGATGCCATATTAAAATGCTAATATCTCTCCCATTAAAAGGCTAATAATGAAGCCTAAAATTCTAGGTAAGGCGAAGATAAAAATAAGTATTCAGTCTGTTTAGAACAGATAATTCAAATCTCCAATTTTGTATAGTTATCAGTTAACTGCTATACTACTTCCAAGTACTATAGAAACAGCTATTGTAAAGCAGTTGGCACTGCTACATTTTTCACCACCACTTCTGGTTCTTGTCTATTACTACAATATTTGGTAGTTTGGCCAGTATCTGCCTGTCCATCTGGATCTGGAAGTCCCACAGGATTTTAGTCCTGTTATTCTCCATGATCTTCTGTGGAAACTCCCATCTGGACTTGGGAGGGTCTAGTCCATACATTGTGCAGATGTTCCACAATACAGCAGCAACTACTTATTTATGCTGTTCAGTGTATGCTGTTCCTGCCTGCATTTTACACTCTGCCGCTATGTATTTGAACTGTCTCTGAAGCTACTCTATACATTCTGCAGTGGTGATTGATGTAGCTGCGCCAAATTAACAGCAATATCAGGAATAAGTTGAATGAGAAATTGGAGAAGTACCGAGACTCAAAGGATGTGGAAAGTAAAGGCCAAAATGGCCCTAGTGATGGTAGGAGCACTCAGGCTGTAATTCCTGGGTGGGACACTACCTCCAACAGATCTCCCACGTACAACAGCAGAGTTCTCTGTCCAGAAAGAGTGCAGTGCTAGGAGCACACATCACTCATAGCAGTAAAAAGGCAAATATATATCATGTATCACAAGTGTGACTGTAAAGTTCACCTGTTGTTTCTTACTGTAAAACCACGCTACCACAAAATGCAGTCAGATTCAACATCTTGTAGGCCCTGTTTCTCGTAAATCTATCATCACATCTTAAACACCTGTAGTGATAGAAACACCTTCAAGATAGGGCAATTTTTCTCGAACTGCTTTTAAATATGGCACATTTTACCGAACAACTTCATTCTGATGCACAAAATTATATTTTTATCACCTCCGTCTTGTTAAAACTTGTTGCAAATCCAATTTTCTGTAAACACCATTGAACTTAATAAAACTTTTAAATACACATGGCTAGAATGAGAAAGAGAAAAAGATGGTAATCTGTCACACTGACCCCTTGAGCTTTCTACACTAGAGGATTAATATTGTCACTATTGCATCCCAGTATTTTCTTCTCCCTCCCTTGGTTATTAGTCAGTACTACTAATGAACAATGCCTGGTGCCAATGCCAAGATGAGTATGTAAATAAACTTGAAGAAATGCAAGAACATTAAACAATTGACAATTCAGAAGGGGTGAGAAATAAACTCAAGATAATCCTGTCTTCATTCTGTTTGGTATAAAAGAAGGCAGAGAGATACTCTGGCATGATTTCAAGACTGTTATTATGTCTAATAAAAATAAAGTAGTCCTTGTGTTATGTATTCCTGGACCTGGCCTATTTTGAAAGGCTGACAAAGAATAAGCTTGCTACATTTGGCCAAATCTACCCAATGCATTAAACTAAAATCAAGTAAAATAGATTCTAGCTTAGTCAGTGTATTGTGTTTTACCAAGCATATGCTTTACAGGTACAGGCTTCTTAGGATTTCCTGCAATTCATAGGAGGCTGCATCAAAAAACTACAATAAATCCTCATTCCTTCCAACTTTTGAGATGTCCCTGAACATGTTATAATTAATCTCATTTGAAGAAGCATAAAGCGATACGGTCTTGGTGGCTTAATTGTAAAAAGTGTTTATCAATTCTTGCGACACATTAGTGCACTCTGATATATTCTGAATTGTGCAATAAATCAGGGAGAGTAGAAAACTCTATCCTTTCCTTCCAAGGGATTTCCTACAAATATCAATCCTGCTCCACCCACCCAAAGAAGCCAGAAACTTGCTTTCTGCTCTCCTTACCAGAAACTCTTCTCCAACTATGAGTTATCTTTTGAAGGAAAAAAGCAGCATTCTTGCCCTGTGGCCAGAGGAAAAAAGCTGATGAGTTAAAATATGTTTGATAGTGTGTCCTCCTGGTTGGCACCTCATTGAACAGTGCAGTGTGCTAAATAATTTTATGAAGATAGTAGAAGGTAAGGTGTTACTTTACAGTAATTTTGCATTTTAGAATTCATTTAGGATCAAGCGGTTTATAACACACAAATTGCCTCTATAAACACCAGAATCTACATAAGGAGTCTTCATACTCTCAATTTGGAGAGCTGCTATGCAACTATCCAGAATATCATTCCTTAGAAGACAGCAAATATACAGGAAACATCAAACCGACTGGACTTCAGCAACCCGGTTCCGATAGCCCCACCTTTTCCCATCTGAGTTTTTCTAACATTGAATGCTTGCAAATTAAAGAAGCCTATTGCAAAAAAACCGAATCCGTACTTAATCCAGAACAAAATTCTGCTTCGTGGTGAGGTCTTTAGGTGATAGCTTCTTTTCTGTAAATTGTCAAATTTATAGCAAACGTCTTGACCATAAGGATTCTTTAACCCTGATCGATCCTGTGACTAAGCACCATTTTAATTTCGAAGATGCAGAGCCCGAATTTTACACGGCTCAAACCAACCGGAGAGGTGTTTTTTTCCAACAGTCTCCACCCTCTCGACGCAGCGCTCTGGGGAGGAGACATTTCATTATTACGCAGGCGCACAAATAAGCACAAAAAAAAAAAATCTCGGTGGCCCTTGAAGTGCGACATTCCTCCTAGTCCATGGCACAACGTTGTACGACAACCAATATCTTTTTACGACTTGTAACGACGGTTGTTTTCCTTGTTGCTCCGCGACGGGCCGTTTCTTGCCGGTTGTATCTTCGAACCGAGTTTAGTTGACGAAGGGTAAGTACCGTAAAAGGCACACAGGCACTTTGGAGCCTCAGGGCAGAGTATATGCCGGAACCACTTTAATTCCTCCATGCTTGATTTTTAGCTGCAAAAAAAAAAGGGGGGAAGGCTTTTTTGTTAGGACGCCGAGTAAAAGCTGCCATCCAATCACCGCTTACTTGAAATAAATCGGGCTTCTTTTTGAATTAATAAATATATATCTCATCCGTGGGCTTCCTAATTCTGGAATTAGTTCCTCCTCAGTCTATGGCCCCCAGGTAATTTTGATAACCCCATCGAAGCCGTGAAATCACTTTAAATATCGCATGCTTAAGGAGTTTTGTTTTCCTGGCTTAATATAAAAAGTACTTGGAATCTGGGAGAGTAGCAAAATATCTTTGAGGCCCCGGTCTCAAAATATCTTTTGAGGTTCAGGATGTTTGCCTTGTATGTCTCAATGTATTAACTTGTATACTCAATTCTCATTTTTTTTAAAGTTCTCTCAGACTATTTTAACTTTTGTACAACATGGATACTGAACAGATTATCGAGGGACAGCCACAGGTAAGGCTTAAACCAGCAATCGTAATAAAAATTCTTTAACTTCTTGTTTTTTTGTTTTTTTTAAAAGGCAAATATTCCTTTCTTGTTATTTTATGGTTGTGTATTGCTTTACAGGTTCCAGAAAATCCACATGCAGAATATGGCCTTACGGAAAATGTAGAGGTAATTGAGATTTGATTTCTAACTGAAGTTAATACACTGTTCTGGGTGTATAATTTCAGATAAGGTACTGATGGATTGCTGAATGGAACCTCATGTATGTTATGTATTAGAACATCTGATTGAATATTGGTTCTGAGATGATGATACTGTACTGAAAATTGCAGTAGTAAGTTTCAGATGTTACAGTTCAAGGGGTTCTAAAGATTCATACAGCCATGGGATTATGGATTGGCCACCCAAGTCTCTGGAATACATTTGCATATTCATATGTATACTTTGGTACAAGTCTTCAATCAGCCCTATAAATCTATTGAATAAAAGCATGAGTATTTTCAGCTTTGTTGGGTGAAGTTCTGTTCCATTCAGAAGAAAGTTATTTTGCTTGTGTAGACTACAATAAAATGCATAGATCTTTGGAAATAGTCTAGACAGGGGCATGCAAGTTGCAGGGCATATGAGTGTGGCTTCAGAAGTTTTAATTGGATGATCAGGGGAGATTTATGTACCTCCAAATTTTAGGGCACTAAATTTGTTCCTTAAAACCTCAGAAATGCTAGAGAGTAATCTTACACATTTTTGGTCCTACTCATTCTAAGTACCACAAAAGGAATGCCTGGAAACTCTGTAATTTAATTAAGAAATTTGAATTTCAATTAGAGATGGGATAGAAATCTTCACAAACCATATTTATAATTTTAAGCGGATAGTGGAAAATGAGAAAACAAGTGCAGAAAAAACATCGAAGCAGAAAGTGGACCTTCAGTCATTACCTACACGTGCATATCTGGATCAGACAGTTGTCCCTATCTTATTACAAGGCCTTGCAGTCCTTGCAAAGGAGAGGTAAGTTATATATAAAATTATCCAAATCACTCTCTTGATTTCTTGTTCATATATATCTTTTAATTATTAAGGCCTCAGCTGTTTCCTTTGTATGTCTAGTGTAGCATCTTTTATCATATTCTTGCAGCCTGTCATTTTTAAATCTGCTTTCATAGCAGTCTCAATCTTGTTAGGTAATACTTGTTCCTCTTCCATAATGTCTTTTAAACAAGGTCCATTTATAGAGGCAGACACTCTTAAAATTAATTTCTGGATCTTTTACTAAGTGTTGAACAAAATTCACCCAGTACTATAAAACCTGTCAATTCAAAGATTCCTAATAGCTGAAAAGCAATTAACAAGCTATTTCCAAAGTGATTTTAAAAGGAAGTAAAGACATCAATTATGGTTTGAACAAGATGGTTAATCCCTCCTTTTCCAGACCTTGAAATATACTAGAGAACACTATTTTGAAGTCTTCTCATGAAGAGTAAGTGTCTTGTGCACTTGTGGGTAATCTCAATCCTCTCCTTGTCCAGAGAAGAATTTCAAAGAGCTACTTGACTCATCAGCTCTTCCTTCCATCTCAATTGTCTGTTGACCATTTCTTTTCTGGAAGTCCTTCCATCTAGTTCTCATTTCAAGATGGCCAATGACCTGCTAAAATATCACCTGCGATATCAGATATGTGGAAAAAGCATTGAATTGAAGAGTAGAAAGAATGGGGGTTGGAACTAAAGAGATTAGTATATACAGAGAAAGTCCTGAGGGGGACCATATCAGAAAGTAATATATTTCAGAAACAGAATGATTGCATCTCCTGCTAGCACACAGTCCTCAGCTGAAAAATATCTCTCTTGTTGACTTTAGTCATCATAAAATATTAATATTTAATAAAATATTTAAATATTAAATACAAATCAAAGACATCAACAATATTCTTGATAAAACAGTTGAGAAAACTGATATTAAAACTATGTAGCCATCTGCTAGGCCTGGGAATCTCAAGGAATTTGTGATTTGATAAGATGGCTGCATTGACATGTCTTGACTCATGATCAAATGAGAACACAACCACAAATTATACATGAAATTGAAGTTCTGACTTAAATTAATAAATCAGCAAGGTCTGTAACTGAGTCATTAATTATTCCATATACTTTAGTGGCTCGTTGTATAATAAAATGCTTGGCAATCTGGAAAGACATTCAAAGTATTTTCTTCTTTTTAAGTAAACAACATGTTCTATAGATTTAATATTCAGTATTTATAATTTACAATGATGGATTTGAATTATGCTTTAATTTTCATATTAACTTCATAAGTTAATTGAAGTCAAAAGAACTTTATTTTTTAGCTATTGTTTATCTTTTTTTTTCAGGCCTATAAACCCTATTGAATTTTTAGCGGCATATTTGTTAAAAAATAAAGCACAGTTTGAAGACAGGAATTAAATTCATCTGAAGAGTGACAATTGATTGCTATGTTCTGTACTAAAAACATGAATCATTGTCTGATACATAAATCCTGCAAAACCAAAAATTCTCATGTACAGACCATTAATTGAATTATTTAATAAAATACCTTATATAAATTATGAAATGTGTATTAAGGTGTCATGATTCTCCACCAGGATATGAATACAAAAAGGCCAGAGTTCACATCACAACACATTTTGTTATTTGACCTCATCTAGTTCAGATACCCTGGGAAAATTCACAGCTGAGAATAAGTTAATTCCGAAAGTATAGTCCTGCCTATAGTTTATTGAGCATAAATGCAATGGAACTTGGAGGGTAATTCTAATGAAACACGCAAGGAAAACTCATATTACTTTTCTACTGAAAAAGTAAAAGTATGATTGCTCTGTTAGTATTTGGCATGTTTTGCAGAAATAGGGAAGGATACATGTATATTCATATTCAACTACTGTTTATATGCATTGTTGGAAAATTATCACAACAACAATAAATCTTATTTCTATGAATATATATTGGTAATCGATTCATCGGTCTTGTAGAAACTTTCTTTATGGGACACTTCAATCATAAGTTGTTTTCAAAATATGAATAATGAAGGCTAAAAAAATCATGAGAATAAGATGACTAATGTGTGAAGGAAACAGCACAACTAATGACAAATCATACAAATGTTGCTCTTTGTGTCCCCATTAAAAAAGGCACACATCCTCTTGTTCTTTTAGTGATTTAACCATGTTAAAATCATTGGAATTAAATACATTTTAAATATAAAATTATAGTTAATGGGTAGGTAAAACATTTCGTTATAATGGAGCTTCACAGTGCCCCCCCCTTTTCAATTTTGATGATTTGGGAGAATGGAGGACATTGTTCTGTAATAACAGTGATCAAATATTTTGCATGTAAATATATCTTTGTTGTGTCTCTCCAATCTCTGCTTCCCTTTTTATAAAGCTCTGGATAGTTGCTGTACTAATAAAAAAGATAACATCCCCTCTTCGTGTAAATGCATTGGATGGGCTAAAGTGTTAAGTATGTACACTGCCAAGTTAATCAAAAAACAACAGGATAAAAATCAAATCTGGACAAAAGATGGCCTTTGAGATACATAGGAGCCACATTAGCCAAGCCCAAGACCAGGAGTTGGACTCCAATCTGGAAGTTTATTGGTAATCAATGCAGCAACCAAAGCTCTAGAATTACACTGTTAAGCCCATTAGCAGTCAGTCCATTTTATTCGGGATTGACTAGTTTTCAGTTTCTTCAAAAGCAATCCCATGTCAAATACATGGCAATCTAAATGCTGGGTAAGAAGGGTGAATCGTTATTAACACAACAATATGGGGCGCAATGGTTCAGTTGCTAAAGATACTGAGCTTTTCAGCTGGAAAGTTTGACAGCCCGGGTTTGAGATCTGAGCGCTGTGTGAAGGGGTGATCTGTTCCCCCAGGTCCTATCCACCTAGCAATCTGAAAGCATGCAAATGTGAGTAGATAAATAGGTACTACTTTGGTGTGAAGGCAACAGCGTTCCATGCACCTTGGAATATAGTTATGCTGGTCATCATGACCACGGAAATGTCTTTGGCTCCCTTGGCTAAGAAACGGAGATGAGCATCACTGCTATAATCAGACATGACTGGTTAGAGGAAACCTTTATGCTTACCTTAGCACAATATTGATAGTTCACCCCAAACCAATGGATTACTGTATCTCCTCTAGTTTCATATAGGTATTAAATAACGTGGGATTCGTATTTCCAAACACCCTTATCTACCTTCTCAGACTCCTAATGCTTAAAATAATTGCATATAAACTCAGAAGACATTATCTCAATCGTCTTCTCAAGGACTATCTAATTCATACCAAATATGAGCAAGAAAAGAAGATTCTGCAAACAACCTTAAAAGCTTGCAAGATATCTGCTTCTCCTTCCCTCTGAAAGGTATAGGTAATTGTGAACAAGTATATACAAGAATCTGCAGATGCAGAAATCATGCAATCATATGTATGTTTAATACTTTCATTACCACAATTACCTTGTCAAATCTCAAATTTGCATATCTAGCCAAGGTTAGTCACATGGTAGAATTTTCTACCACAGTCGCGGAAAGTGGCTGGCACAAACCAGTGGTGGAATTCAAATAATTTAACAACCGGTTCTCTGCCCTAATGATTTCTTCCAACAACCAATTCACCAAACTGCTCAGAAAGTTAACAACTGGTTCTCCCGAAGTGGTGCGAACTGGCTGAATCCCACCACTGGCACAAACCATTCAAACCAGTCTCCACCTCATCCCACGCCACAGAATTAAGCTTGACTTGGGTTAAAAAAATATCTGACTAAGACAAAGGCCCGATGTTAATGTCCTTTTTCAGATACACTTTTCCTCCTGCAAGATAAACTACCAGTTCTAGTCTATGATTGTTTACATACATCATTCCTTAGGTTCTCTGACATGAACTCATGAAATCCCAAATCCATCCAGATTGTATCCCCAGGGCATGGAGTCTCAGCACTGAAAGCAACCATCAATCCAGTTATGAAAGCTAAGGGCCTAGACATGTTATTGCCAGGCAATAACATGGACAGTACACCAACAGCAGCCCCAATTTTTCACTCAAGTCATCTGCAAGGTGATTGCCTCTATTACAGACACTCATGCAAAATCACCACCATACCGTCTTTGCAGCATATAATCCATAGCTGCATCTGGATAGGAGTATAGGAAATAAAATATGAAAAAGGTCCTGTCCTTGTCAAACCATGATGCAGTCCAAATTCACTTGCTTTTTCACACCAAATTGAGCAAGGATTCACCCTTATTCCTCAAAAAACTGGCAATAACAATAGCACTTGGACTTATATACCGCTTCGTAGTGCTTTTGCAGCCCTCTCTGAGTGGTTTACAGAGTCAGCATATTGCCCCCAACAATCTGGGTCCTCATTTTACCCACCTCAGAAGGATGGAAGACTGAGTCAACCTTGAGTCTGGTGAGATTCGATCTGTCAAATTGCAGGCAGCCGGCTATCAGCAAAAGTATCCTGCAATACTGCATTCTAACCACTGCACCACCGTGGCTCTTAATCATCAACAACTGGTGGCCAACATTCCCTAGATCCAGTCAGAAGGTAGATAGGCATGAATGTGGATCAGTACAACTTCATGATCTCATAACAGCCACCCAGTGTCTCCCCTTATACCACTCACTGGCTATAGTTGTGCATGCATGTTTTCCCATATTCCCATATTAACTTTTTATATATAGTTATAGGTAGTCCTCAATTTATGACCTCAATTGAACCCAACATTTCTGTTGCTAAGTAAAATATTTGTTAAGTGAGTTTTGCCCCATTTTACTACCATCCTTGATGCATTTGTTACATGAATCACTGCAGTTGTTAAGTTAGTAACATGATTGTTAAGTGAATCTGGCTTCCCCATTGACTTTGCTTGTCAGAAGGTCACAAAAGGTGATCACATGATCCCGGACACTACAATGGTCATAAATGTGAGTCAGTTCCCAAGGGTCTTAATTTTGATCACGTGACCATGAGGATGCTGCAATGGTCATAGTGTGAAAAATGGCCACAAGTCACTTTTTTCAGTGCCGCAACTTTGAACAATCACTAAATGAACTATCATGGACTACCTGTGATGCATCCATTAGTTGGAAACCCTAAATCAAATACAATACAGGTCTCTCAGCCTACTTCATGAAGTTGTTACCGTGGAAAAAACTGGAGGCGGAAGAGTTATGTGCATTGCCTTAGGCACATCTCTTAGAGGAAAGGCAGGATGAAAAACTAACAAATAAGAAAAGTTGCCCTGGATTAATTAAACTACTGTTACTGTTGACCCATACAAAGCCAGGAGAGGGAACCCTTGAGAAAAACATCTGTTTTGTTTAGAATAGTGCTTAAAAAGGGGTTCCTGTAAATTTCTCCCATCTCCAAGGTGCATATTGAAACCACAGTGTTTATAATTAGGTACTATTTTTTTTAAAAAATCTATTTAGGTTTGTTATTATAACAGTATAGTTTTTTTTGTTCTTCTGCCTTCACTTATTTGTAGCCTATTGAATTGATGTATTGTAGTTATAAATATTTTTATTATTGTGTTTCATGATTTTTGCTGTCCCAAAGTATTTGTGAAATTTTAACATCTAAAGTCATGTAATTATAAAGAAAACCAGATGGGAAAAATCAAAATAAGATGGGACAAAAACTAGACAATTATAAAAAAACAAACTGAAACAGATATGTTTTTACTTGCCTACTAAGGGCTTATAAAGTGAAGCTGAATTAATTGCATAGAAAGCGAGTTCTCCGTTATTAGCAGATAACTTCTGGGCCAATCTTATTTTCCCATATGATAAAATTTAGAGCAGGGCAATAGATATCTCTGGGCCCTATGAGTCATTGGGGAGGGTGAAATATAAGACAAAATATTTAACCCAAACTTAAATCACAGAGTTTTAAATATAAGGATAGAAAACTAGTTTGGGTATATCAAAGAGTAAAGTACATATATAAAAAAGCCCATTAAGTAGTAAATCTGCTAAATTCTGCATTACAATAGCTGAAATTGCTATACCATAGTAATCTTCAGAAACAGATAGCATAGATTGCATTGCAATAGTTCTGATTAAGTCCAAGGATGCTGAACAGGCTTATCCAAAAAAGGTAAAAATTTTAAAATGTAGGTTAGACTGGACAATCATACTAAATGAAGGCACAGCTAAGACCCCACAATAATGGCACCATGGATAATTCTATATAAAGAGAAACTGAGCAGAGTATTAATGACGAGGTCATATACATGATTTAAGTTTATGATATCGATTCTTTGACATAGCATTGCACATGAGCTAGCCAGTATAACTTATAATACCTGTTTTGCGCTCAACATTTTGTATAAATACATATACAGAGTATGGAAGATGACCTTGAAAAGATCGGTTATGAAAGGAAAAAACAGTTTAAGTCAAAACAAGGAGTCTATGGAGATTCTCGGTCACCCAGATCATGGTTGTCCCAAAAGTGCTTTTTTCAAGAGGCAACTGGACTTTCTGGTTTTTTTCTTGAAGACGTTTTGCTTCTCTTCTTCTTCTTCTTGCTTCTTGGATAAGAAGCTTCTTGGATGAGAAACATCTTCAAAGAAAAACAAGAAATTCCAGTTGCTTCTTGAAAAAAGCACCTTTGGGTCAAAATAAGGAGATATGCACAAGCGACTCAGGTGAACACTTTCCTAATTCATGGGGGAGGGAGGGAGTAAAGCATTATCAGACTTGCAAGATTCTGTTGTTGTAGCCAATAATAATAAAAGTAGCTTGAGCCTTCTTGTACAGCTGATTTCTTGATTTGGTCTGCATGGTGGGCTGACATCTAGCCAATTGGGGTTTATTCCAGGGGTGAAATGCTCCCGGTTCGGACCGGATCGCCCAATCCGGTTCAGAGAACAAGTAGCAAAAATCCTGCAAACCCCCCCCCCCCCTGCCCAGCCGGGGCCCACCATCATCAGAAGGTTTTTTTTTTTTCCCCTTTTAAAAGCATTTTTTCTACAACCTCTTCGGCCAAAAAAATACTTTTAAAAGAAAAAAAAAAAAAAAGCCTCTGATGATTGCGCGGGGATTGTCAGCTGGGATCGTCAAAGCCTTTTGAAAGCATTTTTTTACAACCTCTTCGCCGTAAAGTAAAGTATATTATACAAGGAAAGATTAATGACCATAATTAAACTTTCAAAGAAAAACATTACTGGAGTGAAGAAAAGAGACTGACTGCTATACTGTGAGTGAATTCTACCATTCTATAAAATTCATGATGTTCAGTTAAGAGCCTTTTTCAATAATGTTTGAAGGTAATACTTGGTTTAGAACCAATTTCCCCTGGCTTTTTCTACCTTAAAGTATTTCTTCCAAGATCTACAATCAGACCAGTTTCCAGTGGTAAAATAATAGAAACAGATGAATTTTATTACACAGGATCAATGAATGGTTGCTTGAGAAAGCAGATAACTTTTCTTTCTACGGTACACCACTGCATAACATGTTCTTCCATTATTGTTCTGTCAACAAATTCACTTTGTATGCATCTATAGTATAAGTAGATTCTCTTTCAAATCTAAGAGTCCTCCTATGTATTTCAAACATAAAGTAAGTCTTCTACTGTAGGGCTTATGACTGTATATTTAATATCATTTTTTTAAAAAGTGATTTAACGAAACTCTACCCTGTATGAATCTAAGAATAGACCCAAAGCAAATAACAATGAAGTGAAGGGCAATGGCTGCAGAATTAAGCAATAAAACAATATTCTTTTAGATTCAAGGGAGAAAACTTTTAAAACAAAAGTATAAGTAAATATTATATTCAGGTTCAGGTTTTTCTTTTTTCTTTTTTTTTTCTCTTCCACCATAAGTAAAACTCCATATCCCAAGGATTGAACAGAAAGCTGTCAGGTGATTATTCTTTTTGAGACAGCTTGAGTCATTTGTCTCTGAAGCAGCGAGACAGTGAAATTATGGTTCCCATTAATTGTTTAGTCCACAGATTTCCCATTCTTCTAATGAAACATTGTGTTTCAACGGTGATACATCTATGTGAGGAGTGGGAAGGCAGATACAACTTCTTGGTGTTCCCCATCCCTCTTGACAATATGTCTTCTTAACACTTAGGATTCAAATTGTGTGAATGACTGAATGAAATATGTTTTATGTCTAATTGCTTTATTTGGTGGGGAGAGAGAGGGAATGAAATGAAAAAGATTTATTGGTGAATAAAAATTGTATTGACCTGAGCTTGAAAAGCATTTTGCAGCAGAAATTTCAAGTAATGTTAGGAGCTAACTCTTTGGAAGAACTACCTTATATTTCAGACAGCAAACTTCTTAACATACTTGCTAGCGCAGCTGCCGTATACAGTCACAATTGCTATCATCCAGCTGTCTCTCATGTCAACGTTGCTCAAAATATAATGGTCACCCGTCATCTGGGTAAACTAGGCAGAAAGAAAAATAATAAATCAGAGGTAATAAATTGCAAAGGGCTTCTTAGGTTGTAGGCACTTTGAAGCAAGAATGGATCAATCTAGAATCTGATCTAAGAAAAATAACAAAATTAAATCATGAAGGACCAAAATGTAGTTGTATTTCTTTTGTTTAGTGGGATTACTGTTGGTGCTAGGATATATAAGAAATTCTCTAAACAATTAATAGAACAACAGCAGTTTGAGATGACACTATTGAAAAGAAAGTGAGGGGTGATATTGGATATCATATTTAAAATGCAGCATTCCAATACTTGGAATTCCCAGTCTTTAAATATATTACAATAATACATTTTATATATTGCATGTGTAATAATTTTGGAACATCCTGTCACCAAAAGTGTTCAGAAAGCATCTTTTAGTCTTCTATTTCTCAAAGTATCTTAACAATCTTACCTAAATGTTTTACCTTGCAGTAAAAGCTGTAACTTTGTTTGAAAAAATGTGCTTTTGTTGTTTCTTATTTATAATTATAAATTTCTTATTAAATAATTATAAATTTATAATTATCCTCCTGTTTTCAGACCCAGTGGAACATTTTAAATTTTCTTTTGAGACAGATGGAAAAGTAATATATATCGGGTTCACAATACTTTAATGTAAAATGAAACGAACGAAATGTTAAAAAGTTATATTTATGTAGTTACTTACCAAGCACATCAAAATTATATTAAAGTAACCAAAATATCTTTACAATCCCCAAGGCATGTCAGAACTTTTGTTTGGTTGTACACCCCTAATGTTTGGAAATTAAAAGCTTAAAAATTTGGCACGCCCTACGATATACCGTATATATATTTTCCATTCCAAGATCATATATTTGCATGGTAAATAATTATTTGGAAAATGTATATAGGAAAAATAAGCCACAATAATAGCAACATGTTTAAACAGAAGCATAGAGCAAATCAAAAGGATCCACAAGTCAGAGCAAGCCATTATTATAGGTAATTCAGAATGCAGAACAAAGTATTAAAACATCAGTTCTTCTTTCATTTTATTAAATAGCCAAAGGCGACATACGTTTCAATTTCAAAAATTTAATATTGATTTACCCTTTTTGATTATCGTTATGAAAGTTTGAGGGTGAAAATATATCAAACTTAACTATAATTTAAATACAATGATTTATTTCTCCATAGTAGGGAAGTTTGTAGAGAGATAATTTAGGTGCCTGTTGTCTACTGTCCAAGTACCAGCTTTTGCTGAGCAAATTCAAGGCACCTGGAAAAGAATTAACATTTATTTTTGTGTATTTACAAAAATAATATGGAATTGATATGTTAGAGCTTAATTTCAGCTAATGTATCAACTTGAGAGAATATTTGATATATATCTATATCTATCTATCTATCTTGAAATAAATGCACACACATTACTGATTATTGATCATAAATATTTTGTCTTATTAATTAGCACTAAATATAGACTTGGTTACCACATGTACTTTACATGCAGAAAATTCTTATGTAAACCATTGCAAACGAAATGGATATCAGTGTAAAGCAGCCAGATATTCTTTCTGTAAAATTGCCATGAACTCATCTTGCGATTAACCCATTGAGTTAAAATTCAGATCAGTTCAGCAGGATAATAAGGCAAACAACTGTGATTTAATTGTCTGACTTAGAAGAATATATAACATATAATAATATTATAAAATATAATATAGCACTTAATTGCTTTTAAATTTGTTTGATTTTCATAAATCTATCACCAAAGAATTACATTTCACCCTAAGATCTCCACTAGATCCTGACATCTGTTGCTACTCTCCATCTGATAGAAAATAAGGATAGGCCTTGGAATACAATCTCTGGCTATTTCTGATCTATCTTATTCTACCTTTCTTATTTTCAAACAATTCATAATTCAAAAAACTACTTTATATTTTTGTGCCTCTCTCTTTCTCTGCAGGTATTTTTTCTCTATATAATTATGTAATACATTGCTCTCATCCTCATTTATTATAGCACTGTCTTGTATGTATATTTTCTTTTTATCTATAGCTTCATCACATCATCATACCATACTTGCCACTAGTAGAATTCTACAGAACTTCTGCACTCTGGAACATACTGTAATTCTTATTCTATATAGAATATATATAAAATAATTATAGATATAGATAGATTGTACCATGCAACAAGGGGAATAGATCTAAAAATTAAATGTAACAAAGAAGGTAACTTATGTTGGCCAGGAAAAATGGAGCAAATAATTGTAAATTATAAATAAATGACAACAACAACAACAAAAAAGATCCCAACTCACCATGACAGTGTGTAAGAGTCTGCTTCTATCCATTTCATTACAAATAGAGATGTAAAGAGTTAACATCCATAGGAATAAAGATGCTTTGGTCACCGCAAGAGCATCCTTGCTACAGTTGTGGTATCTCCTTAAGGAATTATATTTTTCTTGCATTTGTATAATAGTTGCATAGGGTCAAGAAATGCCTATTTCAGGAGCTCTACAGAGTTCCTGTATCCATATGGCTACCAAGTAAGCCCAGAAAAATAGCTGTCAATAGGCACACCAAGGATGTCTATTATGCACATATGCTGCTTTTAGATCTGAAATCTATGCACTTCTGCAGTTGTGAGAATTTGCTACTTCCAGATTAACATAAATGTACAGTAGGTTGAATATGGTAGGACGGGTTACTTAAGAAATATGTATGGTAAAACCTGAAGAGGTAGCATCAAGAATGAATGGGTATTGAATGAATGTGAATTGAATACAAATAAGTGACCAGGACAAAATAAGCAGGTATGTCAATGTAATTTGGTTTTTAAAGACAATGAATGAAAATTAAATCATGAAACAAGCACATAGAGGAAGAGTGAATAGATTGAGAGGAAGGAGAAGATTGTGAGATTAAACATACAGCATTTCATAGTGATTGCATGAACTGGGGTAAAGAAAACATTGAAATCTCTTAACTAGTCAAATCTTCTGTTTCTTATGAATATCCAGCATATCATTTTAATACTAGTATCAGGTATTCTAAAGCATCTAAAACATCATCATGGTTGTTGTTGTTGTAGAACTTTAATGAACATTTGGGAGTTCCGATCGTAAGGTACTAATTCCATTCCAGACTCCTTTGCTTTTGTTGTTCTGTTCTTCCTCTTTGCTGACTTCAATGGCTCTGCGTTTCTTCACTCTCTCTCTCCAGTCCAATGATAATTGTAATTCTTCCCTCCCATCCCCCACTTTCCAGTTCAACCTTATTAGCTATTTTGGAAGAAGAGGCCTATGAGGACTGTTGGTGTCTCCATGGCAGCAGGCCAATAATATACCAGATGACAAATTAGGTGGGTGAACAGTTGAAGTGGATTAAGTGCCTGCCTTTGTATAACCCACCGTGATCCTGTTTCATCCCATCAAAGTGAAACCAAGCGTGCAGCAGCAAAACACACATATATTTTAGTCCTGTTACTAAATTATTGAGTTATTTAAACTAAACAAACATGTCCATGCTTGTAGGACCTTACATTGGGGACCCACTAGCTTTCTATCACACAGAAATTCCTGAGCATACTGTTCAAATGTTTTTCAGAAGTTATTTGGTTACAAGTCTCAGCTGCTATTGTTTGGCTTGTATTCCACTCTACCTTTCCTTTTATAAATCTCTGCCTATGACAACTTATTTGGGGACCTGCCCACTATATTTTGCTAAGCAAAGCAGCTACAAAAACATAATATTGTTTCTAATGCAAAATATATAGGTAGTCTTTGACTTACGACCACAATTGAGTCGAACATTTCTGTTGTTAAGTGAAACATTTGTTAAGTGAATTTTGACCATTTTATTTATTTATTTATTATTTATTTATTTTATTATACTTATATGCCGCCCTTCTCCCGAGGGACTCGGGGCGGCTTACAGAAACCATTTTACGACCTTTCTTGCCACAGTTAAGTGAATCACTGCAGTTGTTAAATTAGTAACATGGTTGTTAAGTGAATCTGGCTTCCCAGGTGCCTTTGCTTGTCAGAAGGTTGCAGGAGGGGATCACATGACCCCAGGATACTGTAATGGTCATAAATACGAATCAGTTGCCAAGTATCTAAATTTTGATCACATGACCATAAGGACACTGCAATGGTTGTAAGTGTGAAAAATGGTCATAAATCACTTTTTTCAGTGCCGTTGTAACTTCGAGCGCTCACTAAATGAACTGTTGTAAGTCGAGGACTTTCTGTACTAGGTTGCAATTTTTGAGTCCCACCTAGTTACTTCACTGGCATCTCTTAAATCTTGGGCTTGTTGGGTGAATCAAAATTGGAATATCTGCTTGGTGATCTCCATTGTGGCATCTGCTATATTCACATCCTAAAATCAAGGTAATGAGTTTGCATTTGTTCCATAAGAAAATGGTGGCTCACTGTAAATTTTGAAGGAAGTAGACATTTCTGAGATTATACAGTTGCATCAGTCTTGGACAAGGCCCATAGTTCAGTCCAGAACATCTGGTTTGTATGCAAAAAAAGTCTCTGTTTCAATCCTTGGCACCTCCAACAAAGATTAGGAAATAGTATTGTTTGAAAACCTGGAGTGAAGAAATACCAAATTTACTTTTGATCTTAAGAAAACTATCAGCTCACTAAACTTGGAAAAAAGAGTTATTGAAAAAGAAATGGTTGAAAGAGATTTTAAGTTTTGCAATGTTTGCAGTGTTCTTGGAGAAGAACATTTTAGGATAAAGACAAAAAAAACTTGTCATCTGATTGTTCAGTTTTAGTTAATATAAAACACTTACAAGCTTTAGTTGACAATAAATACAAAATATATTTGGCATTTATATATTGTTCCTTGTTATATATTTTTCTTTTTTTCCCTTCACTTTGATCTATTGTGCTTATCTTGTATGCTGTCCAGAGTGACACAGATTTCATTAAATACTGTAAATAAATACTGTAAATATAAAATCTATAATTCTAAGTATGATCACCCTAGCCTGCTCTTATCTAGAAGGTGATATTCTATCAACATATTCTCCGGGAAATTTC